CCCCCCATCCACTCCTCTCTTCCACAAAATTACCAACTACCTTCCACCCACATCCCAACCATTCATAACCATAAAAAAGAGAATCCATCATGTCATCATAATTTTGGGTTGGTACCATATAACAAATTATCGCGCCCAAGGAAAAAATCAAAGGAAACAAGGAAAAAAGAAACCCCACCTCAAATCGACCAACAACGCCATTACACTCCAGTCCACAGTGGTCAGATGTGGGAAAAAAAGAAAAAAAGTCAAATGATACTCCGATTTCCCTTCCCATATGGTTCATGTCGTTACAGGTCATAAGTATCATCCAGTCCAGTCCATCTCCCCTCATATCCAGATGATTCCAACGATGTTGAATTAATCCAGATATTCGACTCTTTCCCCTCAAAAAACTTCGCACCAAAGGTATGTGCCTGAAAGAAAGGTAGGATATAAAACCCCGAAGAATCGAAGAAAGTGTCAAAAGAAGCCAATTAAATGAACCTCATAATCAAGAAAATCTTGATTTTCAGAAGTAGTATGCAAAGAAGGTTCTGTATCTCCCCTCTCAAGCATATGGTGTAAAGAACAAAATCCACCCTATTTGATACAGAAAGAAGGGTCGAGAAGAAGTCAAAGTATTGTAATGAAGTGAGAACATGTGGTCTTTTGCAGAATCGCACCTCTCGCGATGCAGTGCAGTATGCAGAAAAAGATCATGCAGATATGCAACAGAGAAAAATGCAGTAAGATCATGCAGAATTTCGATAGAAGAAACATCCTCCACATAGTTTTTGCTCTATAGTCAAAGATTTGACAGGGTTTGTTTGTCGTGTGATGCATGTAATAGAGATCTTCATGTCCAGCATTCATCATCTCTGATCAGCTTCCTCCCGCTCCCGAATTTCCTTGAGCTTCTCATCGAGTACTTGAAGTCGACTTTTCGCTCTTGGGTCTTCTCCAAAATCGACCGAGCTAATTGAGTGCCGACTTTGATGCATAGTGGCATAAGCGCCTCTCTTGATAGTAGCTTGAGAGGTTTGATTGGCTCGACGAGGAAATGTGTTGCTCGATGGGGAGAATGGAGATCCTAAACGTGGTCGGTCGAATGCTGGAGGTGGGAGGAGTGATGGTATTGGATGAGATGTAGGTGGTTGATTTCTAGATTGAAGGTCGAGATTCGGTGGTGATCGGTTGAAGATTACAGGAGCACGATGACGAAGGGCCTCATCACCAAGACTGAAACCACGACTTCTGACACGTCTAGAGTGACCCAAAGGAGTACCAAAAAGTTGCCGATCCAGGATACTTGGTCGAAGAATACCAGAATTGGAAGCCAGGTCTTCTTCTAATGTATCAGCGCGTCTCTTCTGAGTTCCGTGCAAGGACCGTGAGTGATAGGCTTCAAAGCGAACAGGTGATCGAAGGCGAGGAGCGACGGTGTGTGAAGATTTTAGAGGGGGCGAGGAATTTAGATACTGTGAAGAACTTGGTCCATATGTGCGCGCCATGAAAGGTGATCCAAGAATTCGGTTCTGATTCACCTTGTTCTGATTGACTGCTAAAACTTGAGGCTCTAGTGGTGGGGATGGTTGTGCAGGTGAAGCGAAAGAAAAGCTCAAGTCGGTGAATGGCTGCGTAGAAGTGGAGAAGCTTAGATCTGGTGTAGGGAGAGCTTGATCGTCGTTTGCAAGACTTGCCAAAGGCCCATTGGACTGCATGGTCGTAGAGATACTCGTTGTCAAAGATATAGAAATATCCTTGGTGCTGGGGAAAGGCGGGAAAGGTTCAGGTGTTGTGTTGCGAGGAGACATGGCTCTTGTAAATGGGGTGGGACTGCGTGATTGCAAATGCCGGTGTCGTTGAACAGCACTAGTATCCTTCTTCTTGCACAATTCTCGAAGATGGTTTCGGGTTGCACTGCTGCAATGTGGCCATTTGACATACACATTGGAAGATCCAGCCTTTGGAGTAGTATTTGCAAAGTCTCTGCTGTCCGACTGAGCCCAAATTGAAGCGATTCTATCCGACTTTGGATTTTGCGGACCTTTCCAACTTCTTCTGGCTTCTCTGGCGACACGGTGGCAAACCCCTTCTGGTGGTATAGCACTGGCGCCTATGCGGAACGGTGTAACCGTAGGATCTTGAAGATAGGTAAGGTAAACCGACCACAGATGACTGCTCATTGCCTTTGACCATGGTGCATTATTTCGAGACTTGCGCTTGATATCCTTATTCAATTCGTCATGCTCAAATGGCTCCTTGAGGTAAGCTTTTGATTTTCCCTTCGAGACGGATGGGAACTGGAAAGGGTCCTCGACGTCCGAGTCTGGACTGGTACAACTACCATCATCAGATCGACGTGATCTTCTGCTGCCGCTATAGAAGGAATCGTAAGAGCAGTCGGAAGTGTTGGAGTGGGATGATGTTGGTCTACGGTAATCTTCGTCCATGGACCAGTCAGGCCGAAATGCTACCTCACCCATGGAGAGTTCGGGAATGGGCGTCTTGGGTGGAGAAACACCACGTTGTGGCATTGAATGTGGTGCAAGGAGTGCGGTGTTGGTGGATTCTGGAGGGTCAGCCATTTCCATGTCTTCTACTGCATGCACGCCTGCAAGCTCGATTGTGGGAACAGGGAGGTCTGCGGCAGCGACTGAAGCTAGAAATTGCTCGGTTGATGCTTGTATGTTGGAAACATTCCTACATCGAAGTCTCAATCGTGCTGGTCGAGGTGGAGATGGTTGTAAAGGTTCTTCGGTACTCATCGGCTCTGGCGTCGTAGGTAATTCGTCGCAGAATCGGAAATCTCGTAGAAGAGTCGAGGACCCATTTGATTGATGGTAAACCATTGTTGTGACAATAGATAGAGACGCGCCTGGAATGTGTGGGGTATTGTTGTCGTGAAGCAAGGGGGTGGAGACAATAGCAAATGCTGAAGAAAGCACAGAAAATTATTGTACAATAGATTACCCCAATCGCAATTGGAGGAGTGAATTTCGTTTCTGGTCGTAATCTTCGTGAATTTCGTAGGTGAATGGGATATCGTGGTTGGGAGATTATGGTAGTCGGAGTCGAAGATGAAGGGACGGGCCTGGGTCGCGATGCGGCGCTCAAGCGACGACAGATCGACAGTAGCCGCGTGGCGATTATTATCTTATCGATAGCCCACAATCGTTTGAAGGTTCGAGGAACGTTGCGGCTCTTGTCTCTCTTTCTCTCAAGACGACTTCATTTATCCTGCGAGTCGGTGGTGGTCGTTGTCGAAGGGAATTGGATGGCTGGTCGAGTCGACGAGGTTGCACGACGGTTGCACTTGCAATTGCGACCGCGAGGCTTGTATTCGGCCGGGTTGTGTCGCGCAAAGGAGAAATACCTAGGTCGGAGGAGTGAAGAGGGCCAGGTTTCTGCAGACGCGGTGGAATTATAAGTCGGAGGAGTCGATGACTTGAGCTCGTTCGAAGGGTCGGGTGAGTTGGTTCAGAAGGTCGCACTCCCCCTTTGTTCCTTGAAGTTCCTTTTCCTGTCGCAAAAGGTTGACTCTCCCTCGAGGGCGGAAGACACGGGTGATAAATTGACGATGGGGATATGGCGGGATCGCGTCGCAAAGGGCGATATGGAGTGCAGAAGGCAAAGTCAATAACAGACAGGACAGATCCAAGTCGGGGAATCGGTCGGGTGTTGCTGGTAAAAGAGCGTGGAGGAGGAGAACGTGGGTCGGGGAGGAGAGTTAGGTTTGTGTGATGCAAGAGGGAGGAGAAAATGCGCTCGCTCGCTGGTGGGTGGGCGGCAAAGGCAGAAAGGCAGAAAGGCAGCGAGCGACTTTCGCTCCGTGCGCTGGGGGGCTTGGGCGCTGCCGTTGGGGGATGGCAGTGAGTGGTGCGTGCTGAGGCCAATCAGATGGATATCAGCCTGAACCAGGGGCAGTTGTTGGTCCAAAAAGATCACTGAGCAAGCGAATGAGGAGATATCGGATCAACGCCCGAAACGCGAGAAAAGGCCGGATTGATTGCTCGTCTGAGTGTGATTTTTCTCAATTGGGTGATATCGGTTGAATTCGCGGTGTAGAGAGACCAAGGGGGGTCAGGTGGTATATAAATCTATCTCCGTCTCCCTTGGGATCGTCTTAGACAACTGCGGTTCTGGCGTCAACTTGTTTTATGCCTCGAGTTGTGACTGCAAAGTGTCTGGCCCAACGAGGTGGACGAAGCTGACGGGGAGCGCTGGCAGTGTTGGAACTTGGAAACCTGAGAAGCTGGAATGGATGAACTGGCGGTTTTGAGTTCGCAGTGCCAGGGCAGGCCTTGAGAGGCAGCGGGAGTTGATGCAGTTCTTGCAGTTCTTGCAGCACTTGAGGCGCTAGTAATTCTGCACTTCTGCACCTATGCACTGCACTCCTGGCCTGGCCCGGATGAGGGAAAGTGTAGCCGCGACAGCCAGAAGACGCGTACCGTAGCTGGACACTACTCTACCTCGACCAGAATTGACTTTCTAGTACCAAGTGACACTGAAGGGCGGCCCGCAGCGAAATGGTTGATACTCAGGGTATCCGTATCCGCGTGGGACTAGGTGTCAACTAAGTACTTGGACCATCACCATCTCTAGCTCTACCACGACAGTACACTGCACGAACTACTCGACAGCTGTTTTCTACCAACGAATCAACCAACAAACAAGGCAGGAGCAGAGCAGAGGAGCAGGAGCATCAAGGCATATGCATTCTGCAACTGGATCTGCACGTCTGTACTCTACCAAACCAGCATCATCACGGGAAGCACGTTGGAGGCGTCATGGCATGTTCAGGCATCATCAGTTGGTAGCTAGGTAGCTTGGTACAGTAGCTCGGTAGCTCTCAAAGAAAGTGCTGACCTGCCCTGCCATCTCGCTTCGACTTGAGGGGAACATATACGAAGTGAGGGGTCGATGAAGCTGACCATGTCTGTGGATTAGAGAAGCTATGGAATGTTGGATCAAGTCGCACTCCAGTGAGGGGATCCCATCAATTACCGCTGTGCCTCGCAACCTGGGCACTTTGGGGGAAAGTAGCATCTCTACCCAAAGGTGATAGAAGAGTCATTTGGCTTAAATCCCATCCCATATCATCCCATCAACGATACCTATCCTCTCAAACAAAGAATTCTATCACTTTCCGTTTTCGTAGCTCCATCACTTCTCATCTTTCTTTTCTGTGGTGGTCGGTGTCCTACAGCATGAGCTTAACGCGTCAATCCTCCAACCGAGGGTGCTTTCGGTGCTTTTCGCATCAAGTTCGCGTTTAACGCGTCTTCCCCCTTCATCTCACCTTCCACCACCATCACCTCCCCAAACCCTCAAACCATCCCACCATCTGATATATCAACCCTCGCATAAACCCTCATCCCTTCAATCTCATCCCTTCAATCTCATCCCTTCAATCTCATCCCTTCAATCTCATCCCTTCCCTTCCCCCAAGCATCGCATCCTCAACTCCCAGACGATCATCCGAACGCTACCGTAAGACTACGGTGTGCACAGATTTCCCCTCTGCAGCAAACCCCACCCCGCACGCTCATGCAGGGGGCGTTCAAAAATCCCCCTCCCTCCATCCCATTGGTCCATTTATGCTCCTCTTCCATCGCCCATTGGTCGTCTTTCTCAAAATAATATCTGCCATTGGTGGGCAGGCTACCCGATATGACTGCATTAGAGTATGGATGCGGTCTGTATGGAATTCCCCGATTTTTAAGACCGCGGTAAAGATACCCCTTGGTACGGATGCAGAGGTGAGAAGGGATCAGGCTTGGAGATAACGCTGCGCGCTTTTCCTGCTCTGGGAAGAGGGGGCACCAGGGGGGAAGGGAATGGGATGGGATGGGATGGGATGGTGGCGTGTCGATCATCGTGGGAGAGGGGGTGTACGACATCTCCTAGCTTCCTAGCCTTCTGGTTCAAGATCATGGCCTTTCTCATATTCTACTCTACACTCCCCTTCTTCCCTATGAAAATTTGTATCAGAGGGAGAGTCTTTACTAACAGACAAACCTTCCTTAACCACGATTTCGCAACACAAAAATGATTCTTTCCCTCGTAGCCTTGGACGATTACAAGTACCTGTCCAGGAGCCATTAATCATAGCTAAATGACCCTAGAATAATCAGAGAAATGCGAATAAGCGCTAGACTAGCTTGGGAGTGAATTAAGTTGGTAAGTGAGAAAGTGAGTATCTATGAGAGGATTATTTGGAAAGCGGAAGATATCCATGGTCGTTACTTCTTCTAGTTCTAGTTCTACGTATTATACCTAGGAAAAGGAGGGGTATGGAAAGAGTTAGACTGTCTTGATATTAAGAATTAGCTGTGGATATAGATAGTCGGAAGTAGGATATATATTATATTATACCTAGGTACCTAGCGAGTAAAACATATCTATACCCTATTAGATTTCTAGTAGATTTACATTTAGAATACTTACTCTATAGTACTTATAAAACTAACCAACTAATTACCTTAGATAACTAAACTAAAACCTTTAGTATTTTAATTTCGTGATTACTATACTTTAATACCCTCTTTCTAAACTAAAAAGTTTACTCCTATTCTATATAATAATCATAGTCCTCGCGAGATAGCTACTTACTATAAGAACTTCTACGCGCTAGATTCTTAGCGCTACTAGGCTTACTTCGTACTTCTTACTACTCTACTATTAGCACTTTTAAACGGTAATAAGTAGTTATATATATCTTCCTCTCTTTAATAACCTAGATAATAGCTATATACCTATAATTCGCTAAACGTACCTAGTACCTTATAAATAACCCAGTCTCCTCTGTATCTTACATCTCATCTCTGTTCGAAGCTTTATACCAACTTGATTAGAGTGTCTAGTGAATTATTGAACTTCAACGCACAATAGCCTGGGTGTGTAATTATATAGCACTACCTAGTCCTCTACCATACACACCGACAGAAATCATCGCACTGTCTCTGAGCAGAAGTCCAGCTTTACTTACGTCTTGAATTGAATTGCACAACAGAATTCTACCAACCAAATAAATCTAGCCCTTCACCACAACTCCCGCATTCCTTACTTACTTACACCACAGCAAAGCAAAGTAAAGCAAAGCTTTAGCAGCTCTCAAGCACAAAAACCCAACCCAACCCTAACCCCAAATCACACACACAAAAACCCCAACACAAATCTTCGAAACTAAACCACCTTAGATTTCCACCCTCCCTCCTCTTTAAACACATCACCAATCGCCTTTCCAGCCCACAAAACATGCTCATCAGTGTACCTTGGTCCAACGAGGGTCAGACCGATAGGCATACCGTTTTCACCTTGGAATCCGGGGATGTTGAGACAGGGGACTTGGAGGATGGTCCAGATTGAGCAGAAGGACTTTGGGTAGGGTAAGTTAGATGGATATTATGGAAAGGCGCGAAAGGGAGAAAAGGGCAAGTAGTAGAAGTAAACATACAGCATCACCAGTACTTTCCGTCCCCACGGGTGCTTCATCCACAACACTAGGTGTGAGCACGGCATCGTATCTCGAAGCTAGTTCATCCCATACCGGTCGGAGTCTCGCACATCCATCGTAGGCCTCGAGTTGAGCTTTGCGGGTTAACTTGCTTGTGTTGTTGACGTGGTCGTGGAGCATGGGATGCATTTTCTCTTTTGCAAGGAGATAATCTTGCTGTGTCAGCAACTCAAAAACAGCTTCTGGAAGCAGGGTACACATACTTCCCAAAAACGACGTTCTTCCCTCCCCAGCAAGGACGTTAGCATGCCACTCACTGATCCTCTCAAAGTCGCTCGGAAGCTCAATTTCTTCTACCTCCGCACCACGACTCGCTAATATCTTCTTCGCCCCCTCCCATGCATTTTTCGTCCCCCTCCCCGCCTTCCCCCATACATGCGTCCTACAAAACGCAATCCTCTTCCCCTCCATCCCAAACCCTCTCTCAGGTATTCTCTCATCATCCTCAACCCTCAAGACACCTCCCAACATCTCCAAATCCCCCACCGTCCTGGCATAAAACCCCACCGTATCACACGTAACCGAATACTGCGCGAGCCCTTCCCTCGACACCGCCCCCCACGTCGGCTTCCACGCAAAGATCCCATTAAAACTCCCGGGTCGGATGGTCGAGCCACCAGTCTGGGTGCCCAACGCGATCGGGACCTGGAAACCAGCGACCGCCGCGCTGGACCCGGAGGAGGAGCCGCCGGGCGTACGCGTGCTGTCGTGCGGGTTGGTGGTGCTGGGCCCGGTGGTGACGGCGGCGAATTCGGTTGTGGTTGTTTTGCCGAGGATGAGGGCGCCTGCTGCGCGGAGGGTGATGATGGGGGCGGCGTCTATGGTGCTGGGGCCGGAGGAGGAGTAGATTGGGGAGTTGAGTTTTGTGGGCATGTCTGGGGAGAGTGAGTTTCTTGTCAGATATCTGAAATAGGCTTGTGGATAAGGGAAAAGTAATCTTACCTTTGGTGAGAATCACGTCTTTTACTCCGATGGCTATTCCGTGTAATGGACCCCTTTTTTCGGCGGGTATCTGATCTAGGTTCCTCGCTTGTTCGAGGACGAAAGGGGGATCGAGATAGGCCCATGCTTTTACTTGGGCATCTCTTTCTTGGATACGTGAGAGGAGGGATTTGGCGTAGTTTTCTACTGTTAGGTCTCCTTTCTTCATTAAGGTGCCAGCCTCGCTAGCTGTTAGGAGATAGGGTTCTGTCATTTTGGTAAGTTGCTTGCGGTCACTTAGTAGATGGTCTTGAGCTTCAAGACGGTGATTGATGACTTGAAGAGGTGCGAACAGAAAAATCAAGTTTGAAAGAATGAAGATTTGAAAATGGAAGAATTGGATTAGAACTTTTTTTATAGGTTGATATGACAGGCCCTTGTTATTGAGAGTGATGACTACGAGTACATCCGATCGTTTGTAGGTAATAGGTGGGTTGCAAGAGTGGGTTGCCCGCCCCCACCCATAAATCCGATTATCTTCGGAGCAGCGACAAGATAAAGCCACGATTTATTTGAATTTATGTGACGAGGAAATGAGACGATGAAATAACGAGACTTCTCAATAATGGGCGTGTTGTCCCAAACCTGATCTCCAAAGGAAGTGTGATACAGAACTGTAGAAACCTGAATAGTGAAGATTTCAATAATATCCTTCTATCTCAAACTCCCCAAGAAAGCGCAGCACAGGGCGGTAGACGCCCCAACAGCGAGGCTTTGTGATAGCGGAAGGTATGACAATGAGGATGTTTGACAATAAGAGGATCCAGCAAAGGAAGCAAAAGTGAATAGTAATACCATGTCCTTCGTGATGTTTGTGGACCTGCTAGGAACAATATCTGGATTCGAGTCATCCATATTCATTTAAGGAAGAACGTTTGCTTTCGTTCGGGATACGAAACATTGCAGCTAAAGCAAAGTGATCATTCAGGTATCCATCTCAATTTTCATTCATCTCTGCGGTCATATCTTTGGGAACAACGCACCTTTCAATCTTCCACCTCCCCTCCAAAATCTACCAACCGAATTCTCCTAGCATCTTTAGGGTGGAACTGGGCAAGCTTTGACCTTACTAGAAACCTAGCAGCAGCGGATTCTCTTTCAATCTCAACATAAGCACCGGGCCCACTACCACCAGCTTCGACGAGATTATTGAGAAGTTGCTCGGTCAGTTCTCTCATCTCTGCCCCAGCAGATCTTTTCTCATCCCATGGCTCATCATCTTCCATCTCATCCGGATCTGCTCTCTTACCCCAGATCTGGTCAATTCGACGTTGTCGTTTGTCCACATCCGGGTTGGCTTTGGGCTTTTTGGCTTTCCCTTTCGCGGTGAATCCAGCCTCGAGCATGACTTCATCTACACTCAGATTATCACCCACAATAGATCCTCCCAGCTCTTCCGCTGCCAGTAAGGGTGCAAGATGATCATCAATAAACTGATTGAATGCTTGCACTAGTTTTCCGGTCTCGGTGTCATAGTATTCTTGCTTAGATTGCATCTCCCGTATCATATCCTTGGCAATCTGACTGGAAGTCTTTTGTGTCTTTTCATCTATTTCAGTTTGCAGTGATGCTATCCGGGATTTCAGCTCGTTCTGGATGATCTTGGCATCGGAATGAAATCCTTGCTCTTTTTCAAGTCGTGCCTGAGCTTCTTGGAGCTCAATTTCGGATTGGGTGATGCATTGGCGAGTCTCCTTGATGCATTTGTCTGTATCACGAAGAGCTAAAAGCGCTGGAACTGGGGAGTCCGGAGACGGAAGCCATGGCTCTTGAGGTGTCAATGTCTCATAAGCCGTTTTGAGCGCGCGTAGTTGCAGTAAGTTGGATTTTGGGTGTTCTGAGGTCACGGTATCAAGTGGGACCGTTGAGGCTCGGAGCTGAAGATAAATTAGCATTAGTTCAACACATACACTCCTGCGAACCCACCTCTTCCAGAATTGCCTCCTGCTCTTTTACTCGCTCCTGTAATGTTCTCAATGTCTTGTCCAAACGAGTTGTATATGAGTTGGCTGCACGGGCTTTTTGAGGGGAACTCATGTTGCTGGAAAGGAATTGAGTTTGTTTGGACTGATGAGTCTACCTAATTAGGACGAGAACTCTGAGTGAGAAGCTCCAAGTCCACTACTGAGTACTACCAGTATGAAAGTGAGATTGAGTGTGAATGAAACGACGCGACTGTCTGGTGGAGCACCAAGAGGCTGAGGCTGAAATTAGCGCGTCTCCCTACCCATCACGTGCACCAATAAGCTCACAGCTCCTCTAGCTTCCAAGCCTTTTCCTGGGGATGCACAGCACAGCTTGAGCTCTCTCAATTCAACCTCTGCGCCGCCAGCATCAACACCCTCACACGATCCATCTACTTCCTTCCCTCTGACGACATCACTTTGTGTAGTTGACTGATCTACAGCTTCATCCGCACAACACGTTGCGCCCCATCACCCACCTCCATTGACTGCAGACTCCGACACCATCTCCTCATTCCCTCCTCCCTCTACCATTGTCCTCCTCCCGAAACAAAAGCCAAACACAGCAAGCAAACGCTCATTAGGACAGAACTCTCAACCCACGCTACGCGCACATACACTCTGGTGCCTTCGCCTTCACAACCGTGCCCTGCCCGAAAGATCCTGATTCTTCAACCTACAGCATTCCCCATCGCCGACGGTAGAAGAGAAAAGAGACAGCGAATTTGCTTCGTTGAAGGACCTAAAAAGGTTTGAGGAACCGTCTCTACTACTACTTCTTCCCCAGGGGATTTTACTCATCACCCAACCCACCTCCATCAACACCTCCACCTTCACCTCCTCGTCATCATCACCATCGCCCTGAACCTTCTTCCCACCCTCTCCTACAGCAGATCTTTTCAAGAATTGTCTGCAGTCTTCTGTCTCCGTACAGCCCTCCGTCCCCCTATCTATCTCGACCTCATTCCTTCCTCAACATCCCCGTTTGTCAATAGCACTGGCTCTCCCTCCCGATCATCAACACCAGCACGTTTTCCTTCGAAAAAAAACCCCCCAGGTGTACATAACGATCAATCCAAAGAAAAAAAAACTTGTTTCCGACCTCCTTCCCGATAAACCTTCTCCAAAATAGTGAAGAGATTAACCCATAGCACGAATCAATCATGTCTGCCACTCCACCACCGACCACAGCTCCGACCCATTCCACCAAGAGACCTCTCGAAGACCCATCTTCACCTTCAGCTCCCAATGATCAACCTGAAGCCAAACGTCCAGCACTCGACAAGATCGTCAAGAGTGATGAGGCGGAATCAAAGCCAGCACCTAAACCAATTGAGCTACCTGTGGTCACTTCATCACCAGAAAAGAAGGAGGCTACCAATGGCGTAAAGCTTGAAGACAAAGATGCACAAGGCGATACTGTTGTCCCTGATGCCGCCCCTCAATCAATTGAGACCACGGTCACCTCGAATCGAGAGAATTCCACCAGCTCAACTCTGCCTCACGATGAGAGTGCTTGGATCCATATTCGTGCTGTCATCACTAGTGCCGAAGCTGCCACCGTTATTGGTAAGAGTGGTGAGAACGTCTCTCTTGTTAGAAAGATGTCGAATGCAAAATGCACAGTGAGCGAGTACCAAAAGGGAGCCGTTGAGAGAATCTTGACAGTCAGTGGTGTTGTAGATGCAGTAGCAAAGGTATGTTCATTCTGTCCCAATTGATTAGCATATGCTAATCCAGTAGGCTTTTGGTTTGATCATTAGAACACTCAACAATGAACCCCTTGAGTCGCCATCCAGCAGTCAATCGAAGACCTACCCTCTGCGATTACTCATTCCCCATATCCTTATCGGTTCAATTATTGGCAAGGGAGGAGTCAGAATCAGAGAGATCCAGGAAGCTTCTGGTGCTCGTTTGAATGCTTCGGATTCCTGCCTACCACTATCAACCGAGCGATCACTGGTTGTTCTTGGTGTTGCGGATGCTGTTCACATTGCTACCTACTATGTAGGCAGCACACTTTTCGAGCAACTTTCTGAGCGATTTGGTGGCCCCGCTGCCTCTTGTTATGCTTCTCGAAGTGGTGGACCCGCTGGTGTTGTTCCTGGTGGCATGCAAGTTGTACCATATGTTCCTCAACCAGCTGGAGGCAACTATGGCCACCCCGACCACCACAGAGGCCGTATGGATCGTGGACATCACACACCTGCACAGGCTTATGGTCAACCATACCCACAACAACCACCTCAGCAACATCAACCCGCCGCTCAGCCAATGCACTATGGCGGACAACCAGCAGTTGCAGGAGGCTACGGTGGAGTTGGACCCCAGCAACCAGTACACCCTGGACAACCCGGACCTCAATCCCACGCTGGCCCACCAGCTCAACCAATGCAAGGCATGGTCCCAGGCCAACCATTAACTCAGCAAATTTTCATCCCAAACGACATGGTTGGAGCCATCATTGGTAAGGGTGGAGCCAAGATTAACGAGATCCGTCAACTCAGTGGAAGTGTCATTAAGATCAATGAACCACAAGATAACAGTAACGAGCGATTGGTTACTATTACTGGCACACAAGAGTGTAACCAAATGGCTCTCTACATGCTGTATTCTAGACTTGGTTCGAAACTCCCTTCCCTGCAGCCCCCGAATGATTTTACTAACACGTAAACTTTACAGAGAGTGAGAAACATCGCATCTGAGTTTCATGATCCGATATGATCTCATTTGGACGGAAGAGAAAAAAGACACGAATTTTATAATATGCGGCCATCCACACCCCTGTCCACCAACTTGAATGGGGTCTTTTTCCTCGACATTTTTCTCTTTTGCTGGGGGTTCACTTTTACTGGCGTATCATGGGATATCAAATTGGGGGCGACCACTAAAAGCCAGTTTTTTTACGCTTTGAGAGGGCATGGGTTGATTTGGGGAATCACCGTTTGGCTCTTTTATTTGCTTGTTTTCTTTTCTTCTTTTTTCCCCCGAGATTTGTGTCTTTTGGGATGGAGATTCCTTTCGCACTTCCTTTCAAGAGGGAGTGAGAGGGGAAGGGAAGGGTGATGACCGCCAATGTTGTTCGGATATTGGGCATAGTTCTTTGATGAATAATTTTTTCTGATATTGCTCTTGTGTAATTTGTGATTTGTGACGTGTGAAGTGGACAGGTGCTGCGAGGTTCGGGTCCTGTGTGATTTTTGGGTTGGAGGGGATATTTCGATAATCTCTAGGTAAGCTATTCGCGGGAAGACTGCGGTGTTCTAAGGAAAATCCGTGTCTTCTGGTTCTATGTATCGCTGGCGAGGTATGTTTGAGGTATACAGTAAGATTTCTATTATGAATCCACGAAACGCCGAGTTAGCTTGACTAACTGCATCGCATCATCAACCCAGCAGCTCCTTTTTTTCCGAGTCCCAACTGAAATTGAAGAGTTTAAGGGAATAAAGAGACATATGTCACTACGTCTCACTAGCTTGAGCGTTGCGCTGCTTCTAAGCCTATCGTGGGATTATGTGTTTTCACAACCCATCTTCTTACGTTGCTACTGTAATGTACTTGCCTGGTTTCGATATCTTGGAATAGGGGTATGGTGTTTCAACAGACAGCAAGATCCCCTAGACCCACCACTTTGGCCTCCCCCCTATATTAAATAGAAAAGAGACCGTAGGTTGAGAGTTCTTCTCTGAGATAGGATTCTGTCTAAAGTAGTGACATAGATCCTTGCTTATATTAGAAGCGCTAGAGATAGAGAGAGAGATATATAGAGGCAGGCAAGGCGGGGTCTTGAAGGGATTTGTTTGATCGATCGATTGATTGGATTGGTTGATAGGGATGATAATCTTTAGTCTATTATGAATCTAATGACTTTGGGGCTTGGGTGTATATTAGTATACGAGGAGAGGAGAGGAAATTAGTACTAGTACATTAAGTAGTAAACTAGTATATAATCTTCCTCCTCTCAACCCGTAGGACGTCAGGAATGGGACCTATTATAAGGAAACCAGAGATCTCGATAAATTCGCGAAATGAAAAGAAAGATAGAATACTTCCCTTTCAACCTTTCTTAAGTAGATAGTCCTATGGTATTTCTACTCCTAGTCCCAATCCGCTCCTCACTACCTTAGTATTTACCATCCACCATCCACCATTCACTTCGTTTCTCTTATCTCATCCCATCTCATCCCATCTCATCCCATCCCCTCAAGCCCAAGACCTTCAATAAACCTAAACCAAATAAAAGAGGCGGACATTACTCTATACACACCGTCGTTATAAAATGATTATCCTAAAGACCTTACGTAACTAAATCAATTACACAAATAGTTTAGAACAATTATTACTTTTTAATTCTTGTTGTACTGGGTGAAATAGGACAATTAAGTTACTTGTTCCAGAGTTTTAACATAATGACTTTTGATAGCTTGTATAGAGCAATGCTCGTCTCTCTTACTATGACCGGCCAGGACCTAGAGCTAGAGTAAGAGAAGATTTCATTTACCTTTCTTACAAGTAAATTTCGTAAATTACCTCAACTTCTCAAGACCTCTCGGAGAGACCAGGAGGAACTAACTGCTTAACATATAATTCAAATCCAAAGGGGTATAATTTAGGGTCTTCTCTCTATAGCAACAATGATACGGACTTAAGAATATGAGTCTCGCAGATTCGGAAATTCGTAGTCGCTAGAATATCGTAGCGATATCCAAGTACAGTAGCAAGTAGCTTGATTATTGTTTCTCCTTTCTAGGGTTAGTTAGAAGTCATGGTTTGATGCTGTTAATTAGAAGCCTATGATAATAATGATATTCAGCCGATTTCGCGTAGATTGTAGAGATTAAGTAGGATGTTTATGTTTATTGGTAGATACTTGGATTTAGAAAAGCCAGGCTATCTACTGATCTCTAGCTGTGCAGATTGAGGACAACCCAAACACAGAAATAGGATATCATCGTTTCCATCATAGGAAGCTCACTTCTACCAAGCTACCCGCTATTTACTTTTCCGCATTAATCCACAGTACAGCGATATGTACCAAGCACCTCTCCTCATAGCTTCAGACCTGCTCGGAAAGGATATTTCGGGTCGGGGTACTCGTACAATCTATCCTGCGTCTCCGCGAACATCGACAACCCCGTAAGATCCTCCGGCTTCGTAAAATCACTCCTAAAAAACAACTCCCTCGTCCCACGCACACAATCCGCCACACCCACGCCCCCAAAGCTGTTTCCTGCAACCGCAAGCGTCCCCTTGAAATCCTCTAGGAGCTCAAAGTGCGCTTGACGCAACCTCTCCTCGTGACCGACGGTGTACTGCGGGATGCAATTCTTGTGGAGACCAACCTGGACCGCACTCGGTTCTTCCTCAATCCCAAGGTGTCTTTTGAGCACCGAACGAGCGAGTTCCAACCCTTCGCTTTCAGTGGGGTAAGAAGGGAAGTCATCCCACCAATGGCCGCCGAGCATGACAGTTAATTTTGTTCCATCGACTGTGTCTTGGCCTGAGATGCAGTCTGAGTCGAAAACTACTCCTAGAGCGTGCTCCGGGTTCTGGTCGAAAGGCACGCCTTGCGGGATTAGGTAGCCAAAGCCGTGGACAGAGAGGAGGTTGGGGTTTGAGAAGTAGAGGTTTATTACCATTACTGTGACGGAGTGGATGGATGCTAGTGATTGTAGAGGCTGAGGTCTATTGCTGGTGACGATGGAGGCGAGGGAAGGACCGGAGATTGTGGATATGGCTTTTTTGAATGTGGCGTTGGGAGAGGTTCGTGTTGAGACCTAGGTTGAGGTTAGAGAAGGCTGAATATGAGACCGAGAGAAGGGGCACTTACCTGAGCCTTTTTGGTCGCTTCGTGGTATTTGATGTTTTCAACTTTGGTTCCTGTTTTGATGGTGACATTTGGATTGGCTCGTATGAACTTCTCAAGTGCTTTTGTAAGTGTTTCCATTCCGTTTTGGAAAGAATACACGCTTGATTGCGTAATCGAGCGCAAGAGCTCTCGGTCGGCATTCAAAAGTATGTTCATGTCCAAGAGGCCATCCCTATGTTCCCAAGCGAACTTCCTACCCTTCAAGGCTGTCAAACCCTTGACAATACCACCCGCAAACCCCTCCAGATGCCATAATCTGGGCAAGATACTCTTGACACTTAGCAGGTTGATATCTCCAGCATATATTCCATGCATGACTCCCGATGCCAAGTTATCGGCACAATCCTTCGTACCAAGTCTCCGCTCCAAGTAAGAGGCGATAGATTCATCTTCCAAAGTAGCAGGTCGGGGATCCACCCAGTATTCCATTAGCGTGGAACGAGGTAACCATTTAAAAGCAGGCTCCATGAAGATAGTCCATAGAATTTCCAGAAATCCCTGGTCTTTACTGGGCACCTTGACGAGGTGATCAGGGTAGTAAACAAACCGATTCTGCGCAGCTTCCGAAAGCTGGGAAGTCAATCTTAACTCATCCCCCAATTTAAGAGCACAGATCTGTATAACATCCATTAGCTGACATTCTAACACGACTTATTTTACCCACCAAATCCGCAAGCGCAAGTCCAGAACCAGTAGACACACCCCTCAGAGTCCTAGGACCTTGTTCAAACACAATCTCGCCTCCATCAACCTTCACCTTTCGACTACTAATCCATCCCCCCAACCTCTCACTCCCCTCAAAAATGGTAACCTTCGCCTGTGGTCTGAAAGACGTGATCCAATATGCCGCCGCAAGACCTGTAATGCCGCCGCCTATAATCGCATATCTTCCCGTTTCCTCGTCATAGCTCCGTACCTCTCGTATGTATTTGTCCTCATGAGTGTACTGAGCGTCATGAGGCGGAAGCCAGTCATTTGGGATTTGATCGCCGATAGTACGGCTGGGAGGGTTATTGGCGTGATTGTTTCGTGAGGAGTGGAGGGTTCGAAGGTGGCTGAGGCGTGGGTTGAGTCTGCTATGGCATTGCCGTGGGGTTGAGAGGCGCGGGGAGCGACGCGTCGCATTGCTGATGGGCGTGGCGTAGCATCTTCGAAGCAGACCTGCTACAGCATGCGAAGGGACTCGAGGCATTGAACGGAGGAAGTGCACGATGCACTTGGTACGTTGCTCGTGTGCACATTAAGAAGCATCGGAATTGTTGGTGGTGGTTGGAATCGGCCATCTGCATCTACCCGCAGACCCCTGTAAGGCGAATTGCCCCTCGGATAAATCAACCATCACATCACTAAATATAACTAACCCCTCTTGATACGTAAGATCTACTCTTAACTTTTCAAAATTATCATCCTAGAGTTTGATCCAGAAAGGTACTCGAGGACTCAACTACTAATCTACTAGCAAGGAACGATGCTAATACAGCTAGACTATCCTAAAACATATAAAACATTGGATCGAACCTCACATGCTCACAAATGCATAGGACAACAGTTTTCGCTGTACAGCTACCCCAGAGTTCTATGCTCCGAGGCGCTTGGGAGTATAAAAGTTCATTCTAAGCCCACATAGGCATCCTCCTCCCATCTCGACGCTTTTCGTAATTACCTCACTTTCCCTGAATGCCCTGCCGAAACTCCATGCAAAATTCTTCGCCATATCATACAGATCCTACCCTATTTCCCAGAAAAACCCAACACACAAAGACGTCGTTCCTCTATGTAACCAATCCAACCGGGGCTGATGCTGGTTCCTCCGGCTTGATGAGTTCTTCATCCTCATTGCTCTCATCTATAAACTTTCTCTCGCTCACATGTTGCTTGCCTTCACCTGCAACCCAGACCTTGTCCTCGAATTTTCCTCTCTTCTGGCCATCGACATGCTTAAATGTGCATGTGGGATTCAAGCATGGATTGAACTTGCACATGACTTTGCTATGAATGAATTTGCAATCGGGGGTTGTGCAATCGGCGCCATTTCGACAAAGTGGCGTTGTTGGATGTCGGAATGGGCATCGTTCGTTGGTGCAGTTTGGGTAGAATTTGCAGTCCATCGAGGTTTGGTGTGCCAGTTTCTGAGCCGGGGATGGGTGTCGACCTGTGCATTTTCTGTTCTTGCAAGCTGCGCCAAAAGTACATTCATCGCTCACGTCAATGGCTGCTCCAGGAGGAGCTGCTGGTGATTGATGCGCAAATTTGCAATCCTTGTTGGTGCAAGAAAGATTAAATTTACATGTATCATTTGCCGAGGGCGGTTCACGCTTTTCTTGCGACATCTCGACGTCCATGGAGGAAGGTGTCTCGGATGTTTGCGATTGAATTTGACGGTGTTCCCCGTGTCTCTGGTTTTGTGAACCTCTTCGAAATCCGTTACTCTGCCCCCGTGGATTGGGCTGAACGCGCTCAAACAGCGATTTTCTTGGTTGCTGTTGCTGCTGACCAAAACCCATTCCGTTCCCCATGGGCATTTGTTGTCCAGCCAAACCCATCATTTGTGCCATTCCCTTCATTTGTTGCTCCAAATTGTGGAGCATCTGCATCTGATTTTGAGGGCTCATTTGCATCATGTTCATCGCAACCTGACTTTGCATTGGTGGTCCTCCCATACTGCCATTTCGTGGTCCGTTTGGCATCCGCGCTCCCCCACGATTCGACATCGATTGGCGCGGTCCAGTAGGTGGTCCACGTGAGTGAGAATTAATGCGCTCGTTGCCGCCGTGAGTTCGCACTTTATGTAGAACATTGTCGTTGTTGCTTCTGTCCATCTGTCTTGCAAGGTGACCAAGCATGCGTTTGTCTCTAGGGCGGCCATCTCTCATGGACTTTGGACCCGTAGGTCTACGGTATGTTAGTATTTGTGGTGGTCTTGGGGGAGGGCTGAAATCTGGTGAAAGATCCACCGAAGAGATTGCGTACACATTGCCTTGTCCGGATTCTGAAGCGTCACCCATCTCGGCGTCTTGTTCGTTCATTCCTTCTGCTTGTGCCATGCTTGCATCCATCCCGAATCCTCCATTTCCTCCACCCAGCTGTCTGTTCAGCAACTCTACTTGATGAAACAACCATGTAGCAAAGTCTCTTGCTCCAGGGTCATCCGGTCCGAGGTTGAGAAGGTCGCCTGCGAGTTCTGCTGCGATTGCATCTTGAGTTTTGCCGTTGACCAGCATAAGAATGATGTATTCCGCAAGCGCTGAATCGTCTGCCCCACCTGTGCTCCATCCTACCTCTACCAACTTGGGTTGAATTGCAGCATTCAAAGCATCCGCCAGAGGGGTCCCGAGCACGACCGCGACAGACATGTTTGAGGTGGGGAAGCGTTCGTTCTTGGATTTAGGCGGCAAAAAGGTATGGGATGTTTTCGAGGCTGCGCTATCGATAAAATAAAGGGCAAAGGGGGTTCGAGTCGGTGGTGTGTAGTCGCAAAGCTCAGATTGTCTTTGTTGCGCTCAAGTTCTGGAGTGGCGGGTTTGCGACGCGTTGTGATTGTCAAAGAGAGTTGGAGTTGGAAGATTCAATGGATGTTGTTCTTAGGCTCCACTGGGCACAAGAATACTAGGTATTGATTAGTCATGAGGGTAGCAACGAATCACGTGTGTCACTCTGACTTTTTCAACCCAACCTACGCCCTGCCACTTCATAATCAAAAAATTCACTCTCAGCATTCTTAGATCTCTTTATTACAAAGAACGGAATATGGAAAGTCAGGTGGTGTTGTTATGCTAAGAATACCTTCATCCATCGAACTTGAAATGACTCGGCTAATGCCTACATTAATAGAGTCTTTCAGATTAGCAATACTAACTTTAATTGATGGGATCATAAAATGTTGGCTTGAAAGACGGTTGGCCAACTTTGCCATGGCTTGACTCCAGTTAAAGAATTTGGAATAACTTCAAGACCACGACCATATGAATAAGTCAACCGTGCGAAGCTAGATAACTTCGTTTTAGTTCGAAAGGTGATTCCACATACCAAAATCGATACCACAATATGAGTAAGATAAACCTACGGTACCCCAAAGATAGGTAATCACCAACACCAACACCAACATCCCACTTTCTGTTGGCTCCTGGCAATGTCTCAGACTGTGCAGCTATAAATGTCATACGGCAACTGTCCATACACTGCCTGCCGGCACCCGACCCGAAGTCAAGTCGCATTCTCGTGCCATAATGTCCGATTCCGTTAGTTTTGACAGAGGAGAAGCTGAAGTTGATACCATGAAAAAGATGTTGCTTGAAATAAAGTATGAATGACTCCAAAGAAGAAAGTTGAGCCTTAGGTAATGTGTATAAAACGAACGAGATTACAATCCAAATGGAGGATTCCAGTACTCGAGTAGACTCGTTCCTTTCCAGGAAAAAAGATGTTTTACTCCACGTGACCAGCCTCGAACGCCTCCCGTTCTTCGGCACTCCTTTGGTTGATTCGCGTAATTGGGATGTCGGTTGTTTCATCGTCTTTCTTCATCTCACTCAGCCTATTTCGGTCATCTCAAAGTCACTATTTTGGGATGTAGATCCATCCTTCCACCTTGGCAACCATATGATGGTGTATATGATTGCACGTACAAAACCTGGAGGCTTGCAATCAGATCTCCCGACAGGGAGATGGAGAGGAGAGGATGCGTATCCCGGTGCAGCCTCTACTTCTATGATTTCACGGGGTTCGTCGGCCCCCCTTTCCCCTCTCTTGGCCAACCCCCCTCCAAAGTTTGCGAAAGAGGATGGAAGTCATTATTCTTCCTGCCTACCCAGGCCATCCATCTCATTAATCTGCGCCGTTGGCTATTTGCTGCTTGCACCAACCACTTCCACTCCCAGTCCCATTTCGTGCGGAAGTCCTGACAAACCCCAACTCGGATTGCGGGGCATCAGTTGGTACCGTACTTCCTAGTAACGTTGCAGGACGCGAGCGAAGCGATTCCTTGACGATTGTTGCTGGAAGGGGCAAATACATGGAAAGCACTGCATCGCAGCATCATCCTCTGCGCTCCACCAGGCGAGAATATGCTAGTGCAGCGCAGCGTACGAATACTCGCACTAGCAATGGTCGCTTGCCTGCAGGAGTTTGGGCACATTCACTGGACTTGACAGCTTCACCGATACTGCATACTGCACCGATTCACGACATCAACATCGTCAGGTCAGGCCGAGTGAGTGATGTTGGTTGAACTGCCACGCCAGACTCTATTGGATTGACTTCCTTCACCCATTGGTGGATGGCCGCCTCACTACCAGTCATCTGAAGTCTTGGTCTCTGCGCCTCCCCTACACTGCAACCCATCCCCTGTACCACCAAAACCTTGCAAGGCACTGCGGCGACTGCTGTCATCATCAAGATTAGAGATCTCCAACTCTAATCAATTATCAGGGCTGGCTTAGTCTACCGCGAGCATTTCCAGTCTGTAATTGGGCAGGATGGGCTGGTCCGAGTCGGTCCTCCTGCGCCTGCATCCTTACGTCGTAACTGTCTCTCCCTTCCCCGTTGGGCCTTGTATAGCAGGCCTTGCCGTAGTGGAACCTTAGAATTGCCATCTCGCGACAGAATACTTATATCGCGTGGATTGCCACTTATTCGTTGCTCATTTATCGACCCGTCAACACCACATCCACTGCCTCTCAAGGTAGCAAACAAAAGGGGCTAAGCGGTAAAGCAAAGCAACTCTGCCTATCAGGGTTGAGGCAACAAAGAAGATTTTATTTTATATTTCTTCTGCCTCGACTTCCCCTTCCTCCTTCCGGACTCTTGTTTTTTTTTCACAACATAACACTTCTTTGCTCCAATATCTAATTGCACTATACCAAACACTCGCTCAATCAACACAACCAACAACTTACCACTATGTGGTCTTTAATGTTTGCTTTGCTGGCATTTGCCTCCCAGGTACTCGCTATCTGGCCGGCGCCAGCCTCCCTGTCGACCGGAGATACAGCTCTGTGGATTACTCCAGATGTCAAAGTTACCTATAATGGTGGAAGCGTATGGTGGTCTCCTTTCTATGAAAATCTCTCGAGTGGTTCAACTGAACAATTTGCCGATACACAGTCTTCTGCCTACGCTGCCGGAACTGAACATGGATTCTCGAGCCGTGACATCGTTCAAAAGGGCATCAACCGAGCCATGGCGACTTTGTTCAAGCAAAGCTTTGTCCCTTGGAAGCTCGTTCCTCGTAATAAGCTCGCCGACTTTGAGCCCAGCGTCGAGTTGAAAAACTACGTTACTAGCCTTACTATCACGCAAACTGGTAGCGATAACAGCTCCAACTTCAAGCCTTTAGCTGGTGAGGTTGATGAGTCTTACAATCTTACCCTCAGTGAGAATGGCACTGCAATAATCACCGCCAGCTCAGCCCAGGGAGTTTTATACGGTCTTCAAACATTCATTCAACTATTCTATTCACACTCCTCCCGTGAAAATGGTGGTATCTACACCAACATGGCACCCGTCGAGATCAGTGATGCTCCCAAATTCAAGCACCGTGGGTTGAATATGGACGTGGCTCGCAATTGGTTTCCTAAAGAAGATATTATGAGAACCATTGACGCCATTTCCTGGAACAAGTTCAACAGACTCCATATTCACATGACCGATTCTCAATCGTGGCCTTTGGATATCCCAGCCTTCCCGGAACTTTCCACAAAAGGTGCCTTCGCAGAGGGATTATCATACAGCCCTGATGACTTCCGAGACATTCAAACCTACGCCATTGAACGTGGTGTTGAAGTCATCGTTGAGTTTGATATGCCAGGTCACACCACTTCCATCGCCCTCGCTTTCCCGAACCTTATTGCAGCTGCCGGGGCAACACCATGGGATAAGTACTGCAACGAGCCACCTTGCGGTTCGTTGAAGCTCAATGAGCCAGCTGTGGGACAATTTCTCGAAAAATTATTCGACGATATTTTGCCAAGAGTTTTACCATACTCTGCTTATTTCCACACTGGTGGAGACGAGGTCAACGCTAACACATATACATTGGATGACACTGTCAAGACGAACGATACATCGGTCATTGGTCCTCTCATCCAGAAGCTTGTGGATCGTAATCATGCTCAGATTAGAGCTGCTGGCCTCACACCTATTGTGTGGGAGGAGATGCTCTTGCAATGGAACCTCACACTTGGCGAGGACGTCGTTGTACAGACATGGCAGAGTGATGAGAATGTTGCTTTGGTCACAGCTCAGGGCCACAAGGTATTGGCGGGTAATTACAACCTTTGGGTAAGTGTTTCATATTCCTTGGATTGAGCCACACTAACAATCCCAGTACCTTGACTGCGGAAAAGGTCAATGGCTCAATTTCAACGAGGGAGCCTCATTCGCTCAGTACTATCCATTCCCAGATTACTGCTCACCCACTAAGAACTGGCGCCTGGTTTACTCTTACGACCCCCTCGCCGGTGTACCAGCCAATCAAACCCACTTGGTCTTAGGAGGTGAAGTGCACATCTGGGCTGAACAAACCGACCCGGTCAACCTCGACGACATGGTATGGCCACGAGCAAGCGCTGCTGGCGAGGTCTTGTGGTCCGGACGTAAAGATGCGGCTGGGCTCAATCGAACACAAATCGACGCCGCTCCCAGATTGGCCGAGATGAGAGAGCGAATGGTTGCTCGAGGTATCGGCGCCGGACCTGTACAGATGGTCCACTGCACTCAACATAATGCTACTGAGTGTGCGCTGTGAAAAGCTGTTTCCTGAAAATTCCTTTCTTTGGGTGGCGACCTGTTGGAGGTCTCTCATCATTTGGCATAGGCGTGGCGTTGTTCATCATTCATTCTTTGGATGTGGAGTTGGGGTCTGTTTTTCCTCTGTATTCGAATGAGACCGATTAGAGATCTTTAATTGGGGTATCTAGAATTGTGAACCTCCTTTTGGACTTTTGGTCCTGCCATGGGCGTTCATAATGCGTGACGAGATCTGGATTGTGTGGTTGGTTACAATTACAAAGATCAGAAATAAAAATCCCAAAAGAAAAGATACAACAGCATCAATTCATCATGGTTTTGCAAATTGAGGGATGAAGTTTCGCGTGAATTACATTATAGTTGTACTCCCTTGTCTAGTCATAGAAACAGGTCCCACCATATTTTGATGGCCGACGTGTCGTTCAATCATGGTGCCAATAATGGGCTCGAACCACTGCAAAGCCTCGTGAAGTACCCAATCGGCCAAGTCCCAAAAAGAGAAACCGAGATACTTCTGCTCAACACTGAAAGCTGCCGCTTCGCAAGACTTCGGATGAGGCCCCGAGTTAGTGGTACTGGTACTGATACAGATGAAAGGCTTTGAATCTGGTCCTTCATGAACTCCTCGGGACCCAATCATAGTGAGGACCATTGTCCTGGGATGAGTTTTCACAGGGCGTGCAAGTGCATCTGGATGTCTGGTCTGACTGTGACAGGGGAGGGGTGTGATGTGTTAGTTCGTGTAATAGAATGGATAGGTGTAGACGACCTCTCACGAGTACTAATTTATTTCCCGATTGGTACAATGTCGTACAGTACGTGAGTGGTTCTCGTACGAGTACGAATATGGCTTTTTCTTTCGTCCTCTTTTTTTCCCTTCGTCTTCGTCTCTCCCCCTCCTCCATTTCCTGCTCCTGTATAGTTGATGTTGATGTTCTGCGTCCTGGACTGGTACGAAACTAGTATTCCCCCGCCAAACGGGACGGGGCAGAAGTGTCCTGTCAGGTGGAGGCTGAGGAAAAACACAGTTTCGGGAGGCGCACCCCTTCCCCCTCACCTGCATTTTGCGATGGAGGGGTACCCCACATTTCGCATGTGGACCTCGGCTGTGCTTCCCTGGGGCCAATCGTATGCACCCATTCCACCTTTATACTTTTGCTTATTCCTTTTCTTTGAGGCTTGGGTAAGAGGGTGGTGTAAGAGGTTACTGGTAGAAGGGTTTCGGTAAGGTTGGGTGCTTGAATTGGGGGGGGATGGACCGAGTTGAAGAACTGTGGGGAGATGGGTCGACGAATCAGGACGGGTTTGTGAGCTCGCATTGAAGACGAGGTGCAGCGCTGCAGAACTGGTAGAGTGACATTAAGCATTGGTAGGGGAGGATGACATGGCTTGACTTTCCTCCGACCGCATTCCGCGGGTTCCTTGAGGGGTGAGGTGGGTTACGTACTGTAGGGGGTAGTGTGTACTCGTACTGGATTTGAGGAAACTACCTAATGGTTTTCTGTGCTTCTCTTTCTCCTTCACTATTACATACATGTTTTAGGTTATTAAAGAAGCACTCGAGGACGTCCACTTGATGAGATCCCACTCGGTTTGTAACACCAAGACACATAAAGTGGATACCACATAACCGACGTCATGATCGAAAGCATCCTCGAAAATTGGGCTCCGAAGCATTTAGTCGCTGTCGCCATTGGACTCTTTGCATTATGGCGTATCACCCGCAGGATCTCACAGGAACTGAAAATCCGACGGCTAGGAGGCCATGCGAGACGAGTCAAAACCTGGCTTCCACTTGGTAAGCTGCCCTGCCCCAGATGACCCTCACAAATCCCGGTCGAGGAAGCTAGCTAATCACCATTTTATACAGATGTGGATCTCATCTGCAAAGCCATTCTAGGAACGGTAAAACATAGAAATCTCGAGACGTGGGATGGTTGGTTCGTCACGCCATCAGAAACCTCCTACACCGTCGAAGCCAAACCCGCCGGTCGACGAATAATCTTCACCGCCGACCCGGAGAACATCAAGGCCATCCTCGCAACCCAATTCGCCTCGTACGGAAAAGGGAAACCCTTTCACGAGGAATGGAAAGAGTTCCTAGGCGATTCCATCTTCACCACGGATGAAGACCAATGGCATGATTCCCGGCAGCTTATTCGGCCGCAGTTTATCAAAGACCGGGTCAGTGATCTGGATGTTTTTGAGGAACATGTCCAGATTTTGATACGGAAGATGACAGAGGAGGGACGCACGTCGGATGGGAAGGAGGGGAAGGGCTTTGATGTTAGTGATATGCTTTTTAGGTATACTTTGGATGCGGCTACGCACTTTTTGTTTGGGAATAGTGTGGATAGTCTTGAGAAGCCGGAGCAGGAGTTTGCGCATGCTTTTGGGGAGGTGCAGAGGGTGCAGAATTATATTTCGAGAGCTGGGTTTGTCTTCCTTTGCCTTTTGGAAGCTTGGTCTGGTGATCTTAGGTTGAAATGCTTGCTAATGAGTGGTGATAGACCGTTCAATGCGCTCGTCCCAAGAGGACAATTCCGAAAGGCTATCAAGACGTTGAATGAATTTGTCAATCCTTTCGTCGACCAAGCTCTTCGGCTTTCGCCCGAGGAATTGGCTACAAAATCCAAATCCGATCAAGGATACACTTTCCTCCACGCCCTCGCAGGTTTCACTCGAGATCGTAAGGTCCTACGCGATCAGCTCGTTGCAGTGCTTCTAGCCGGTCGAGATACAACTGCCTCGACTCTATCATGGACCTTTTACGAGCTCGCACGAAACCCCTCCGTCGTCAAGAAGCTACGTCAAGAAATCATCGACAGAGTGGGTCTGAACCGAGCACCCACCTACGACGATCTAAAGAACATGAAATACCTCCAAGTAAGTAAACCCTCACTCACCCCACCACCCTCCTAACACCCATCAGAACGTAATGCACGAAACCCTCCGCCTCTACCCCTCCGTCCCCTTCAACGTCCGCCTCGCCCTACGCGACACCACCCTCCCCCGCGGCGGCGGTCCCGACGGCCTCTCCCCCATTGGCATCCTCAAAGATACGCCCATCGGCTACTCATCCATCATCATGCACCGGCGTGCGGACCTCACTCCCGACGTCCTCTCCTTCCGTCCCGAGAGATGGGAATCCTGGCAGCCCAGGCCGTGGCAGTATATCCCGTTCAATGGGGGCCCGCGGATCTGTATCGGTCAGCAGTTCGCGCTGACGGAGATGGGGTATACGCTTGTGAGGATCTTGCAGCGGTTTGCGCGCGTGGAGAGTTATATGGGGGAGGTGGATGGGGGACGGCCGTGTTTGAAGGCGGAGATTGTGTTACAGCCTGGTCAGGGGGTTTTTGTGGGGTTTTTTGAGGGGGAGAAGGAGTAGGAGGTGGTTTTTTCCCTTTTAGGTGGGCATTTGATTTGAGGAGTTGTGGGATTTTTTGGGATTAGCGGTTAAGGAATCCATCTTTGGGATGTACTTTACTGCACATAATGGTCGGCACTATCATACATGTCAAGTCCTACAGCACAATCAGCGAACCAACACCAACTACTTTCTTTCCTTTGCAGTACTGCAAGGTATAGTACTACCACACAACCTCACCATAGCTTCCAAGCCCCTCCCTACCTACACCTGATACCAAAACTCATCTCCTCATTTACAAGCTGGTAAGTAGATACCACCCATTCCTCCATTCCTCCATCCCTACCCTTCACATTTAGCATCCCTCTCTTTCCCCAATTTCCGATGTTCTCACTCAGATTTTCGGAAAGGGATTCAAAACCTCTCAGGTCTGGAAGGGATAAGACGGGAATGTTGATACTATAAATTACTTTACTACCTTATTTCTCTTGAAGTTGATGTGGTGTTTTTTGATATTAAGATATCTGGTTAGGTAGGTAAATATGTAAGTAAGTGAATAGGTAAGTAAGGACTTGAACTCTCATCTTTTTAGGTTATTTTCTTTTTCCATCTACCGACCTACTTACCTAACTATCTCAAATTTATTATCACCCTTATCACGTACAACTTTGGATTTCTAGGGTTGTAGGTAGAAACAGTAGCTAGAAACTAAGGTGGGAGATACGAGCAGTGGGGTTCTTAGGATGAAACCATGCTCGCTACCTACTTGACTAACGCAAGGAAGGAATTCTTAGGGATCTCTTTAGTAGTGGGTTTTCCCCCTATAATCTGGGTAAGCGGAGATTATAGGGGGAGTGTGGATAGTAGGATGAGAGGATGAAGGGGATGAAGGGGATATGGTATTCCACTGGTTTTTAGTCTCTGGCTTAGAGGGAATGGGGAAATGGGGGTTGGTAATAGAGTCACGTTTTTTTGCTCCTGCTGCAGTGCTGAGGTAGAGAGGAGTTTGCTTGGTTGCTTGGTGGATGGAGATGGGGTCTCTATTCTAACCCTCGTGGGATGAACGACTGGAGATTGTAATTAATGGAGATTTGAAGATATGAAGGTTTATAAATTAGTCTTTGTATTATTCGATATTCGCACTTGAGTCTCTTGGTTGTATCTGATGAGCTAATATCTACACTATTTCATATGTTATTGGATTAAAGCAGAACTCAATGATCGGGCTTGATACCCTCATCTCTGAATACATGTGAGAGAACACATAAGGTTTTATAAGTACCGAAATAGTTTCTCTCCTTCCAAAGAATTCGCTGGGAAATTAAAAAAGGATACTTGGTAGAAATATGTAAGTTTCTCTCGTTGCAAGATAAGATAACCAGCGGATCGTATATGTATCTAAATCAATTAAACCCTGAAATATCTAAGCGAGGTCTCAACAAGGTCAAAGGTAGAAAAGGGGGAAACGTAAAGTTAAGCGAGAATGCGTTACGAGGAACCCTTCTAGTCCGATAAAGAAAACCAAATATAATAAATCCTTATAAGAGACTAGAAAGATAAAGTAAAGTATTAATCTCAATTTCGAGCCAGTTATAAACTATAGAACTTTTATTACATAAATCGTGCTCCTATGTACTCATACCACAATGATAAAACGACGGACTCTAAGTAGACCTCCATTAGTACTGTGCAACTTCCCACATCATCGCATATTATAATCTTGTATCAGCCACTGGAGCCTTTCCCCCTGATCTCAAAGCCGAGAGTCCTAATCTCAAGATCCCGTCTCCTAGGCTCACGCCTCTTATGGCAGGATCTATCATACCTGTTGTTGTAATGAAAAGAACGATCCCAAATTTTGGGAGTAGAGGTGCGTATTCTTTCCAAGTGTTTGTGAGGAAGTGAACCAACTCTTATTCTGATATACAAGGCTTTTTTTTGTGGTTCTATTGGAGGTGCTGTTTTCTCGTATGTTTACGTTTCTATAAAACTTCAGACTTTCAACACTCTTCTATGTTTTTTGGCTTGGCCGTTATTTTAGGGGGAGGAATAATAGGTGGTAGTAAGTATATTGCTACCTGTATCAGTTGAAACCTAGCGTTCAGTTTGAAATAACGTTTCGATTCTCCCGAATGATTCCTGATCTCAAATTCCATGGTGTTTATTTTAGTTTAGTTGCGTATTTTATTAGTCTAGTTTTATAATTAGAAGCAAAACCGTACTTAGTTCTACGATATCAAAACTGACCTAGAAACTAAGACAAACTGAACCATTGCCAACACTGAAGTCTACTATGAACCGTGATCTCCGGTATCGCTATTATTTCATCGCCCCGTTCATGACAGCGCTTCAGATTGAAAATTGGCCGCGAGGTTGAAAATCTCAAGAGTGTATTCGATTCTTTTAGGGCGTGTTCCTGGTTTTATATGAAGGAGGTGTGTGATCTTTGAGTGGCGTATAGGATGTTGAAATTGGGAGTGCATCCATGGCGGATTCAATCAAGTCTCTAACGCCTGAAGAAAGAGACTATTTTGGTGACTACTAGGACCAGGTGTGAGAGTCGAAACAGAAGAGATAAGGTTTGATTGTAAATTTCTCATCTGTATGTAAACAGTATACTCGAGTAGCATGCAGTTAAACCTCGAGTTCAACAGCAACGAAAGCAGCAACCCCGTTGTAGAGACTATATTTTCTATCTATGAGATAATCTATTTCCCTACGTATCATGTCTAAAGCAATAGCTAAGGAAAATACCAATTCCCTAGAGCAATGGAAGTTGGACGTGATCACGTGCTCCACCCTGAAATAAGCGATAGTAATACAATGATCTCAACAAAACACAATGAAAGCTTAATCATTCAATCGGCAATTAACGGAAATGTCACCCAAGTACCAGAAAACACAGAAGCCATTCCCAACCACAACCACCTATGTTAAAAGCCCTTCATCTTCGACCAGGCATCCATTCCTATTCTTCTTAAAACCACCAAAATCTTAATTGTGGTATTCTGATTCTACAAGCCGAGCTACAGTAAGATCACCCTTATATCCACGGGATGCGAGGTGAGAGGTATGACGGTCAATCTTTTTATTTGAAATTTCATGGGCATCTGATACTATGTTAGATATCTATAATAAATTTGATTTACGGAGATGTCTTATTTAATCATCATTATTTAATTTCTATAAATATAGCTAGCTACTCATATCCCAAAAAATAAACAAACCGCCCAAATATGAACCACCCCACCTCCGCGCCACACAACAAAACCTCACAAGCCACAAAATCCACCAAGGACCCCTTTCATTCTCACTCACCCAACCAAATAGAACAGAGCACACTATCACACACAAGGAGGGTTGAAAATTTATCGGTATTACGTAAACGAACTAATTACTGGTATTATTCATCCAAAGCCCACCCATCCATACGTAATCCCATCATAAACGCAAAACAAGCAAGCACGTAAAAAGCGCAACCAACACCCCCTAGCCCCTCATAGATCTACACAAGAAAAAAAGGAACATAAGAGAGCCGTTGGTAACCCCCAAAGACAAAAAGGAAATAAGCGAGTAGTAAAGAATCAATAGATCGGCCTCCCCTCCTGCCACTTTGACGCCGGGACATCAGAACTCTCATCCGCGGTATCGTAAGCCCCATACGAGGCCCTCCCCGATTTTCGTCTCTCCCCGCTTGCTGGCCCGCTAACGGCACCGATCCACTCCCATACCCGACTAATCTCACCACTGCGACTCTCGCGTTGTGAAGAGCGAACATTGGAGTTCATTTCCACAACCTTGCGGACTTTCGTCCAAACCGCTTCTCTCTTCGCGAGACTATGCTGGTCTCGCAGGACATCATCTCTCAATTGGCCGATACTGATCCAATTCTCCGGAAACGCGTCGCTGTCTTGAGCATGAAGACTGGCTTGGGAAGCGAGTCTTTCAAGGGTCAAGGAAACGAGCTTTGGCACTGTTGAATTCACAGCTGCGCGGGAACGGAGATATTGGCGAATATAGAGTATCACGGATGCCAGGAAGATTAGAGATCCAATTTGGATACGATATCTTGCCAAAGCGTTTCGGAAGGATCGCTTGAAGGCGCAGGTGATGGGGAGACGGGCGAGAGATGTGGTACTGAGGATTTTTCCGTTTCTGTGGAGGGGATTAAATACCTGGTTAGTACGTTGTTGTCAGAAAGTGTGTTGGTTGACAGTTAGGAGAGGAAAGTGCAGCGAATAGACAAAAAAAGGAACGGAGAAACTCACCCATCAGAAACACTAATAACTTCGTCCCTTCCCTCGATTTCTCCAATTGCACCAATCCATAGCTCTTCAAATTCCTCTGCTGCCATGCCCTTTCTTCGCTTCTTGCTGACTTCTTTCTTCAACTCCTCAGCACCAATTCCAATAGTGGGCTCAGGAAGCCCTGCTTCGTTGATAAGACCGCCGCACTCATATTTGGCTTTGCGTTCTCTCAACTCTTCCACAGCACGATCAGCCACTGCTTTGACCCGACGAACCTTATCTCCATCAGGCTCGCAAGTTGGTGGGAGAGGAACAATACCCCCAAGAGAAAGTGGGTGTGACTTCAATACAAAATCAGCCTCACAATCTGTGTGAAGGTGTCCTGAGCAGTATGCATGTTGGGGGCAAGGTTCGCATTCTGGTTCGACTAGAACTTGAAGCCAGTCTGGAACCTCGACACCATCTGGGAATCTTTTTATTGCATTTCTTCCCACGCCACAGTATCCAACCGCAACCTTTTCTTGTCTATACCACATAGCATAGCCACCTAGAAGAGTGATGAGAATGACCCAGATTGGTCCAGTGAGATTGAACCCCCCTTCTGGTCTACGAGTTCTGCGTGGTCCTAGCGCGTGAACTCCTTTGGCGGACTGCTCTTGCTCAATCTCAAGCTGCTCCTCCGGTGTAAACTCCTCACTAGCTTCCACGCCATTATCATCAATATCTACCAAACCATCATCGTAATCGGTGACTGGAGGGGTGAAGACGGCGGCTTTCGGAGGATAGATTCCATCGTCAATCTTTGGTCCAGCAGTGCGCCTTCTATTCGCAGGTGTAATCTTGCGACTTGTGCTGCTAATGCCAACAGTTCTTCTTCTGTCCCCACTTGGTTTGGAGTCAGATAAAGGAGAACTGCCGCTTTGGAAAGGATTGTCATACGTAAAGGCACTCTCTCGTCGCCGCGAATCTCCAGTTTCCTCGTCGGAATATTCGGATTTGATTTTTCGGGAGGGTGCAGCACTAGCAGCACCAGGAGTTGCACTTCTCCTTGACTTTCTGGCAGTTCTCTGAAGCTCAGCATCCGTACTATTTTCGTTATCTGATGCTCGAGCATGCTTCGTGCTGGGTCTTGGAACCCGCTTTGTCGGACTACGGCTTCTGGTTACGCGGGAAGGATATTCGCGTTCAATATCCTCGGACCGTGGTCTCGCAGAAGACTGTCTTCTGGATGTTCGTAGAACTGGCAACGGAACTTTCTCCTGCTCGTCTGTCTCCTCTGTCGATTCTGACCCAGTGGTGGTCTCCTGTGAATCCGTTGCGTTTATTATGCCCATGCTAGTCCTTCTCGCACGCGCTCGTACTGCTAGAATTCTCTTCGATTGTGGAAGAAGGTCCTCATTGAATATCTGTATAAGTTGACCTTTCTTTGCGGCAGACGGGTAGTTGACGTCGTGAGATACGAGAATCGATCGAAGCCGTGGAACGGTCAGAGTGGTAAGGTCGAAGCCCGGCTGAAGATATTCTAATCCTTCGTAGTCGGACATGATGGCGTTTCGTGTCGTCGTATGCTTCAGAACTCTTGAAGGTGTTTTGCGCGCAACAGCAGGTTATCAGGCAAGGAGTGTGTGGTGTTGGGAATCTGTTCAAAGCAGCTCACATGCACCGATCGCGATGACGTACGAGCGTAAGAAGCTATGGTAGTGTTGCAAAGTAAGATCAATCCAGCACCACGGTTCAGGATTTGCGCAAAGCGAATCGGCAAAGTACTGAAGAATGTTGATCAGTACAGGGAGGCGGATTGGGGTGTTGCAAAAAGGAAAAGACAAATGGTGGGTGAAAGGTAATGAGAACAAAACAGAGTCCCTTTTCTCCGTTGGCCTGGAGGCGCCACAGTGGCGGTGCACATCAATCTAGGCAGCCTCGGCAGCCTTGTGCTATTCGCCACTCACTTCACTCGCTGCAATTAGGTTGGACTGAGACACCAACCAAAAAAGGTCATCTACTGTACGGACGTGTACAAGTACTGATATACCATATTACAATCATCAACAGGATTCCGAATTTACATAAAAAGAAGAAAGAAAAAAGATCTTAGGCTGCATGCCATTTTTGCTTGAATAGGCAGGTAAACAGACAGGAAGCTTGCGCACTACAGATATATACCATAGTAAAAGTAGCCTCTCATTGTTAAATCCAGCTCCGAACCACTGAAGCTCTCTGGATATTCGGAATAATTGAAATGATTAAGCGAAAATTCTACCACATTTTACGCAATTGTACTAACAAATTTCGGCTAATGTAGTTTACTGTTATAGGCTGTTTCATACAATTATGCTTCCAAGATTATATCTTCAAATGACACTATGAATTCATACTTCTTTACACTATCAGAAAAACATATAAGATGTCACAAAATGGATATAACTTGGGAGTTAATATAATTTGCCGCATGGCTTTTTTATTGTGTCTTTTATGAACCGTGAGGGTTCTTTTCTTGCCAAATCCGAGTAAACATCACCGTCAAATAGACCCAAAACTAAAGTCCAATACCTAATCCAAACACAATTCAATCCAACGCACTAACGCCAGCATAATGCACCTTCTCCGTTGACACTCCCTCGATATCAACTCTCTTAACCTCGGTCCATTCCTTCTCAGCTTTAGGGACGGTGACGACAAGTACTCCATCCTCCAACTTGGCAGTGATGTTGTCGCCATCGACCTCTTCCTTCTCCCCATCTCCAGGAGGAAGTTTGACAGTGCGATCGAACATACCAACTTTTCTCTCGCCCTGGGTCAATGTTTGTAGGAAGGCCTCGTCGCCCTTTCGATATACCACACCTGCCAAGTTCAAAACTCCCTTCTCCTCATCCCAATTGACTCCCACGTCTTCTTTGCGGGCACCTGGGAGAGCAACATGAAGAACGTATGCTCTCTCAGTGGAGAAAATATCAATTGGAGGCACGAAGCTGTCTTCGCTGTTGGTATCTTCAGGAACCAGAACCTCTCCTGATCGTTGTGGGCCGGCAGCTCCAAATGCACCTGCCTGTTCAGCGTAGTTGCGGAATGCCTGTGCCAATGGATGTTGAGACAACGAAGCCATGAGAGCATTCATATCGAACCCTCCAGGTCCATAGCCACCGAATGGAGGCATTCCTCTTCCGCCATGACCTCCCCATCCCCCTCGTCTGTGTTCGTGTCCTCCTCTACCATGTCGACCGCAGCCTCGACGACCACGTCTGCCGGGAGAGGCTTGTCTTGCTTCTCTTGCTTCTCTGTGCTCACCTTCTGGATGCTCGCCGTTTGGTGATGGGCTTCTAGATCCGTGAGATCGTCTTCGCTCGTGGGACCCGTCACCTCGATGACCGTGTCGTCCTCGATGTCCACCACGACCGCCCCATGGACCGCCCCATCCACCTCGACCAAATCCTGGACCACCGAAGTCGAAGCCAGTAAATGGTTGAGATGGTTGTGGAGAGGCACCGAAGGGATGACCAGCAGCTGGGTGGTCAACACCTGCTCCGCTTTGATCAAACGATCGTACAAAATCCCAAAAGGGAGCTTGTTGGTAATTGTTGTATGCCATGATTTGTTTTGAAAGTTGTGTGGAATGCTTTACTTGAAAAGAACAAAAATGATGAGCTATGAAAGAGAGAACATCGGAAAAAAGCGAGAAATATATAGAAGAGAAATAGATACACTAATAGGCAGAACGAGCGTCGTCAACAAATATTATTGAAACCGACCACAGGCAGCAACTTGCCTCAAACCTGTGTAGCGTCAGACTCGGTGGCTTACGCAACTAGAAGGCATGAGTCTTCTTTAGAATTCATCTCTGCAATGCGATTGGGAGCACTCTAGAGAAAGGCTTCCAGAGCCGCGTATGCCTTTGCAAAAACAGGCTCTATCCCCAACGCCACAGCACTCTAAAGAAGTGACTCAAACAATTCGGATGATTCAAGATTCGGGACAATCACTTCTCGGGCCCGAAGACAAAATCGCCACCATCCATCTCGGACACGTTTTTTATCACGTGGGTGAGCTCGTCTAGCGAGTTCGGTAACCAATAATCGCTTGTGCAAATATGGGGCAGCGGCTTCTATGGGAACACCACTCCTCACCAAGAAAAATCAAGCACTCCGTCTACAGTTGGCCAGACCCTCCACGCACCAAGAAATCCAGGCTGGGCAAGAATCGCGAATTGCAACAAAAGCTGTGCCTTCCAGCTCCAGTCCCGTGATCCGTGATCACGCCTCGCAAGTCGTGAAGCGGTCCCATCTTTCCGCTGCGCGTTCCAGGCTGTGGAAGAGAAGCGATGGCATTTTTCTATCGCCTGCGGAAGGTTTTGCAAAGCTCTCTGCAATCCATCACTTCACAGCCACTCCCCTTTCGAGTAGCCAAGACAAATTGTGTTCTTGGCGGTGGATTGTGCCAAGCTGTGAGAGGGTTTGACCTTGGCACGTGGATAGGGGTAGCGATTTTGTGGAGGAGCCAATCATGTTTAGCTTTCTTTTAGAGGGGTTGTTTCGCGAAAGCATGATCACAATGTGAAAATCGTATCACCTCGCATTGGACATGTAAGGCGCGCTTCTTTCGGGAACTTTCAACCGATTAGCTGGAGTTTGTAGGGCAATTAGTCCAGTTCGACGAGTTGTCGATCACTGTGACCATCTAAGGGTGCATTTAGGTTGGCTTACTTGTAGATTCTTGGAATTAGGTTTTCCGGTAGCGTACCCTTAGATTCACAAAACTCATAACAACCCTATTCGCTTATCGAATATAACTCCGAATGGAAATATCTAGACGTGTAATCACTGGTCTTTACGTAGTAGTGTTATACTATATAGTTGCTAATAGTATATGTATACATGCTAATAACACACACTACAATACTCGAATCGATTTACATATAAATATATACTTGTAAAGGAGAAGTAGGAGAAGTAGTATAGGTAGTATTGAGAGTAGGTGGAATAAGCGAGTTATGATAGAAAGAAGAGTTTTCATTGTATTTCCTTTTCGTGCTATATATTTCGAAATAGTCCGAACCACTTTTTCGGATTGGTACTAGCTCTGTATTTAATATACGAGTTAAATAGACCTAATACTTAATACAACTTATAACTCGTCCTAAGTAAAAAACTTTAACTTGTATGGTGAACCCCAGATAATTATTCTGAATCAGGTGGGACTCATCCTCAAAGAACGACGAATGGTAAAAAGTATTATGAGGGATGAGAGGCACTGCAACGACATCTGATGTGTTTCCTTTGTCGTCACACCTCTAACTAATCACATACCAACCAACGTACCCCAGGGGGCCTCCCGGTGGACAAGAAAAGTGGCAGAGATTCATTCTTTTAAAGTATTAGCGTAAGTAAACTCTAAGTACTAAAATGTTTAAAATATCTGGAACAATTGCCTTTATTGTGCTATCGTTTTCGATACCCTCCGTAAATCATTTTCGATACCCTCCGTAAATCATTTTAAATATTCTAAGTAAATAATACAATATAATGGTTTTTAGTTAAGTTGTGATAAGATAAAAGAGGTCTCTGCCGCTTTTCTTGTCCACCGGGAGGGGGCTCAGAATACGTGGAACCATAGTGCCCTCTCTTTTCAAACCAGAGCAGCATGTATTGGAATTTCTCCCCAAGGAAACTCACATTGAACATCTTAGCTAACTCTACATGAAGAGGAGATGTGAACAGTCATCTATTTAATGGCCAGCACTTCATTTTGAGCTTATCAGTGCTAATCTGATGGTAGAACACATGCTGCTGAGTTTTGGCGCCCCGGGGGCGAAGCACAGATTGATATGCCACCAACACTATTGCTAATAAGAGTCTGTCCAGGTGGATCAATTTTTGAAAGGCCTTGAGTTGGATGTCGCAATAACTAGTGTTGGTAGAGTTTATCAATCCTGGGTTTGATACTGTTTGAACACCAGGATCAGGTTTACCCCTCAACACCTTCGTGTTGATTGGGCCATTCCTGGTGAAAAGATTCGATATAATATCCACAAGGAGACCGTGAGTGGCCACTCTAAGATTCTTAGCAGAGCGGCAATTGGCCAGAATTGCGCCACGAGAAAGTATTCACTGCTCACTTGTTTGCTGAGGCTTTATGTGCCAGGATGTCAGACAGTAATGCTTCTTTTATAGGCGTGGGAAGAGTTTAATCACCCAGTTATATGGAATTGGGCGACTGAGGATTTCTGTTCCAGGCAAGACCATTACCGGAACCCACTCGAAGAGTTGCCTCAATTAATCCATTATGCAAAGAAAAGACATGGGTTGTTCCCGTCCAACGACCGTCAAACTCACTATTATCAAACATAAACCATATATTATTACTAAAAAAGATACCCCAAGACTACAAAAACAAAACGCGGAGACGAGAATCCAGTCCCCGCCAAAGTCAAAAAAAAAATACCTCACTCAACACTCTCAACATTCACTACCTCTCCGTAAGCGTCAAACCCAAGTCTCTTCTTCGCAATCGATGCTTTCACCGGGTTCTTGGAATTAAATATTTCATCCAGTTCCTCAAGCTATTTCAAGGTCAGTCCAGATTCAAGAACCAAACAAATTTGAAAACGTCATCGGGGAATTGGGAACTTACAGTACGATTCTTAGTTTCGGGAATGAAGAAAAAGACAACGACGGCTTGGATCCCACACCATATCGTGAAAATGATATACGTATGCCATCCAATATTTTTGAGAGCAACCGGCCATGCGAATTGATTGAGTAATCCAGCTGTAAAGGCCAATAGTAATTAGCTAAGTCCTTGCATATAATTAGAAACAGTCCGCTTACCAGCAGCAACCGCAAAGCCCGAGAATCCCATCCCTTTAGCACGCATCTCAAAAGATAAGACCTCGACAGGATACAAAGCTTGAAGAGGTGTAAATCCAATCGAGAAGACAGCGCCAAAGATGAAGATGAAAGCCAATGAGGCTGTTCCCGCAGCTTTGTTCGTTCCATAGAGCTTGGTATCTGGGTCGGCTCCTGGCGGCAAGGCAGGAATTGATTGTGTGTAGATGGCTGTGGAAATTGTTACGGCGAGCCACACCACGCAACAGCCAATATTTGAAAATAGAAGGAGTGGCCGTCGACCAATTCTATCTACCAAGGCCGCTCCCAGTAATGCGAAGCAGAATTGTTGGCAGTTGTTTATCAGTGTGACGTTTGCTTGGCCGATTGAGCTGTGGATTCCGACGGTGTCGAGAACCTTTCCTAAGAAGTAAGAGAGGACGGCTACTTTGCTCAGCATAACCCATTGCAAAAGTAGAGATTTTACATACCATTTCCTGCCCACTGTCCAAATATCGATATACAAACATTGCAAAAGAGTCGGTAGCATGTTGATCGGTTCTTGAATAGTGCAGAGTAATCCCACCATCGCTTATCAGCACCGTCCATTTCCAATAACTCCTCGTACTCATTGAGTTGGAGCTTCACCCACTCGCTATCAGGATTACCATCTCCGTGAAACTTTGTGAGCATAGCCTTAGCCTGATCCGTCTTCTTATTGACGTACAGCCATCTCGGAGACTCCGGGAGGAAGTATGCGGTACAGAAGATGATAGCCGAAAACATCAACTGGATCCATATGATTAATTTCCAGGATGTGTTGCTTTGGAAATGGACACCTCCACGAGCAACCCCACTTGCGAGGATAGAACCGGTAAACCTAAAGCAAAGTTAATATACATCGAAGCGCGGAAGCTTGGAGGAACCCACCAGAAACAATTGAAGATGGCTGTGACAATTCCACGGTATGCAGGGTGAGATACCTCTACCACATACATAGGACCTGCAGCCGACGCAATATTCACACCAAACCCAAGCAAGAATCGACCTCCCATAAACTGCTTCGTACCATTGGACTGGGTAGCGACACCTTGAATGATAGTTCCAATAATAATAAGAAGACAAGCAATCCACATGCCGAATCTCCTCCCGAAAGTATCTGCTGCCGGTCCAACGAATGGAAGAGACACCACACCTCCAATTTGATACATCGAAGTGACAATACCTGCCCAAATCCCCGCATTTTCACCGTGATAATAGTCCAAAAAGAATTTATTTTGAAGGAGATTGTTGATCAGACTTCCATCGTAACCGTTCATCGTAGCGCAAAAGAATCCGATGAAGCAAGCGAGGTAGAGTTGAGTCGTTGCCCAAGTGAAAGGGCGAGGTGGTTCTTTCAGCATTGCTTCGTTAAAGGCTTCATTCCCCTTCACAATTTTGATCTCAACTTCTGCGTGTTTCTAAACAACTCATTAGCAATATTCGTTAAAGCTCTGTTTAGGAACATACTTCTTCCTCGCTCATTTTCGGGTATTGCTGACTTTTATTGCTTCCTGCATGACTCCCGGATGTCGCTGGTGGAATCTCAATTCCTTGAGCTGAGTTTGCGACACCGCTTGGTCTCTAGGAGCTTTATCAGACACGGTAAACGTAATTGATTTGGTCCCTTACCCCTTCATGACTCCTTTGTGTTAGCAATGGAAAATCTTGATCTTTAGGAGCATTTTCATGGCTCAGAGGTGGAGCATGAGTACTAGTAGGAGTTCGCGGTGGATGTTCCAGATGACCAGAGGTCTCCAAAGCCTTCTCATTGCTAGTTCGTCTCGACATCTTGAAGCGAATGACTGCACAATACCAATTGAAAGCAGCAACGAACCAGAATCAATGAGGCTACACCAAATTCGAAATTTTCTGGATCGCGAACAGACCTCGAGAACTGAGGGTACAGCATCCGATATGTATGCCGTGCATTTCCAGATGCCCCTGCCAATGCCACCGCCGGTTTGACAAGAACACCCATGTCGGTATCCCTGAACCGACATAAGCACGTCTGACCCCAGAAAGCTGAATTCTCCATCTCCCCGGATTCTGGCAAAGTTTCTCCATCCACTCTATAGGTGTGCTCGTATACCTCTAACCAGGTCCTTCCTGGAGCCGAGCCGTGAAGCTCCAACTCCACAAATCGCTTGTTGTCGGTTAAATATGTTTTGAGTGGCACAACAGGTGGTTACTGTACTGCAGCGAATACAATAAGCAGAATAATGCAAGGATGTGATATAGCTATGGGATGACTGCCTTTTGGCTTTCGCCAATTGACTTTGTTGGTTCTCTATGGGCAGTATTCGGACCAAACACCTGAAAGGGTGCTCGTATACAATGAGATGTCCTTCGACACTTTGTCTCAGTATTACTATGTCACCCCCAATTCGTATCTTCCCAACAGCACAGCAAAGCAAGAACTCCCACTCGCAATAGGCATCCAATGGGCATCCACAGATATCTTCCAATCATAACCCCAACAGCCCTTCCTGGTACCAACAACTCACTACCCCGCATTCTTAAAAGAAAATACTTCAACATCAAACTACCTAGTCAAAACCCAAACCTCTCCACACAAAAAATTAAAAATAGGAAATTTCCGTACGACACCACTTACAAAGTAAAGAAGGCTAATCGGTCGATCACTTCAACGGAGTAGTCCCCTCCGTGGCCCAAAGAAGCATCGTCCTCGGGTAATTTGCAAGGATAAAACCGCCTTCCCTGTCAGCGATCGCCAATCCCAGACTTGTCATCTTTGGATGTATGTTGCCCAAGAGATCTTATCCGTTTCATTAATTCGGAAACATTGATTTCTAAAATAATATAAATTCAGGGCAGGAACCAAGGTTCCTGAATACTCATTATCATTTCCAAGTTCCAAGTACCATTACCCCTGACCACCTTCCTCGTTCTCCATCAAAGGGCTCACCCTCTACCTCCAGAGGAACAACCTTATAAACCACAACAGGCAGGTACGCAGAACACACAACAATACAGCACAGTACATATGTCCCTCGTATACCCCATTCCGTCCAAGTAGGTAATAAATACATCTCCATGTGTACACAGACGAAAGAACTCCCACCCCTCCTCGCCACGTGAGCAACCCCGCATGTCGCGAACCGGTACCGAACTAATCAGAGTTGGGAAAGAGGGACTCTCAGCGGTCTTCTTTCCCGTATCTCCTATCGGTGAAAATGTCGGCTCGAATGTTAGGTTTGGGATGGGGTTTGTTGATCTGATTTATTTCACAATGCGATCCAGATGAGAAACCGAGTTTATTTCTACGGATTTACTCGAGTACAGTATCCCCGATCGGCTATGTAAAGTAATCTTACAGTAGATACAAACTAAACTTTGGTACATTAGCGGCTTCCCATCATCCAAAAATACCAAATAATCCTCAATGTTTCATGTGACTGCGATTATAGTTTATAAAGCATACCACCTCAGCCAGTGTTTCCAGTATACAAAACCATCTATTCAATATCAGCTTCCTCCATAATCTACCACAAGTCATAAAAATCTGCTTTATTCTTGTCACATACCGGTAGTACATGATTTACTACCAAGCGGTGGAACGCCCGGTTAATCAAGTGCCACATGAGCAGACTGGACACCGATATATCAATATGATCTCGGGGGAAAGAAAGTGTTTAACAGTATTGTATTAGATATTAAGGGGTCTGACAGCCTGGGTAAGTACCCCTTGTCAATTTCTACTATACGTCCACGCGAATCACATATTCCAATTAGCTAAGAAGGCTATAAGATAGAGTTATACCCTCCCTATAATACTTCGCTTGCAGGGTGGGCAGTGACGCGAGCTGTCAGCCTGTCCGATCCCTTTGTATAGACGATACGATATCAAGTTCCTCGCGATAATCGATACAAAATCAATCATCAACACCTCCAACATGAAACCCATAAATCCAAACCCGAAGTAATAAGACAACTTAATCCAAGACCTCCTAATACTACTGCAAAGCACTCCGAATCTGTCTACCATTTAAAACCCCTAGTGCCTTGTTTGACTTATAAATTTATTCTATTGAAAATTCCTAGACTATTACACCTCTACTATGTACCCCCAAATAACCCCCTACATACAAAAACCAACACCATCTACTTCTCCCGTCAGCGCGTTTCATTTCATGTTTCAAACCTCATAGGAATCAGAATCAAACTCAGAATCAGAAACCAGTACATCCAACATATCGCGAAAATTCTCGTATTAGCGCCTAAAGTACCTAACATAAGTCTAGATATAGCGACAAAATTTCTTACAGTACAGGTACATGGAATACAATCTACGAACAAAATCCAGAAACCATACGAAGGGGTCAAAACTCGGAGACGAGGCAGGCACGAGCTTGCGTTACGCCACCTACCAAAGATAGCAAGGCAAGCTGCGCTCCTGCCCCGACAGACAGGAGAAACATAACATATTAAAAATAACACAATACAGTACCTACCTAGGTACCTACCCAGTAACTTAAATAAGTTCTTGCCCCTGAAGTACTGGAGTAGATATCCATGCTCGTTCGTACACAATTCACGCGTCACACATAAAGAAAAGTGAAAAAGATGACCTGGAAATGTTCATGTTTGCACCAAAAAAAAAAGAAGCTTTTGAACCAGAACCCCTCCCTCCCTTCCTAATTAACCGCGTAACTGTAAATAAAAAAAGACCAACGCTAAGCCAGCAAAGCCCCATCTAGATGCAAAGTCAACCTCGGAACACCCATTTCGTTCCTCGGGACATCACTACCGCACCTCCTTAATATAGCCTTTTCAACCAGAAGAAAAAAGAGAGAAAGAGAGAGAGAGAGAGAAAACGCCATTATATGCCTCCCTATGCTACAAAAAACTCCCACACTCGCTTCAATCAAGCAAACCCAAATCCCTTCGAGTTCTCCAAGGCCATCTTCAACTTCTCTCTTAGTACATCTTTACTGCTATATTCAGGGAGTAACAAGATCCCATAGCAAGTATAAGTAGTCGGTAGATGCACATCATCAATACCGTTGCGCTGGAGTGTGAACTGCAAATTTCGCATCCCGCCCACAGGCACCCGATCACTCGCGGTGACAAACTCTAGGAGCTTCTTTTTCGTCGGGAGATCATACCGCTTTACGATGCTCCAGAAATCCCTCACTGTGCGATGGGAAGCTTCCCAGCCGATATAACGTGTCGCGCGTCTCATTTCGGATATGTCGATTTCTTGTATACCTTCCACAACAGATTGCAGAGTATCAGGATCGAAGAGAGAAAGAGAGCGGCGATCGACGCAAGTGAAGAATCCAGTTTTAAAGGCCTCAAATTGAGGATTTATTGAAACGTCGGTCAACCACCGAATGTAATCACTAACAAAATTGTTGCGGTTCTCATTTGTTACCATTGGGGCGTCTTCCGGATTCGCAGAGGAGGCCTGTGGGTCCGAGAATTGCGGCCATGGAGTGTATTCTCCTATCTCACGACTAACTGCTTGGCCAAACTGCTCAGTGCTAAATTCGTAAGTTCGAGCAAATATTTCTTCGACCAAGCCGTCTTTCTCGTCCCATTCCAAGAGCGAGGTCAAGCCATTTGTCAAGTCCGGCCAACCATCCTCAATATGATGTAGCTCAGTTACTTCGTGATCTAGGAGTTTGCGATACAAGGCCTTTGGAAATGTGACCGGAAGAGTGAGCCCATTATATATAGCTAATGAGACTATAGTTCCAATCAATTGGGATTTCCAAAGCGGTTCTGGTGAACCTGGCTGGAACCAGGTCATTTTGGTTCGGGAGTCAATAGTGAAGGTTCCATAATCGGGATTGAGCGCTTCAGCGATAGCCAGGCGGAAGAACTCCTGTTGAACACCACCGGAGTCCAAACCTTCTTCGCCACCACCCTCGCCCAACCGAACCTTCAAAGGTCGCATAAGTTCGCGTTCTTCTCGTCTCCAGATGGCATTGAAGGTATCAACCAACACGCTGCGACGACTTATCTCCAGAACCAGAAATTTTGAGGTAGCGACCCGCAGGCGTTCGAACAGCCGATAGCGAGTACTCTGATCCGTCATTAATTGATTCTCAGATGCCATTGAATGTACAAGACCAGTCGTAGCTTTTCCGGATTCGTATGCTTCATTCATCCGAGAGTAATTGATTGCACGGAAGTACGTTACTAGCGTGGAGGGATTAAATAGATACGGATAATCGAGAAGATGCAGAGTCCGTCTGTTTGTCTCGAATGATAGCCACCCAAGTGGCATACTGACAGGATCAAGCCTCTCTGCAAAGTACTCGGTTCGGAAGTGTATATCTCCTAGAAGCAAAGATTTCCTGTGCTTATCTAAAGTATGTTAGTTGATATCTTTCACGATGAAGGATGGGCTTCGTACAAATTGCAGCCATCATGGCCAGAGCGCCACCAAACGACCCGTCTGCAGGCACTTCCGCAGAACCGTCCCAGTCTTGAAGCATCACCGTCCTAGCCCAATCTAAAAGGAGAGTTGGAACTCTCTTTTCATGCAAGTCACGCTCTTGATTGTGGAAGTCCAGTGCAGGAATCGTACCGATATCAAGAAACTTTAATGTTGCCAACACGCCTTCCAAAACGTCAGGCTCACGCTTGCCATCAGCTCGTACATCATTCTGCAACTCCATCAGTTCTGTGAACCTTCTTCTAGTGGATATGGAAGCAAAGAGTCGACGGGCGAGTCGCAGAGCCAAATCGTTTGTGAAGGCATCCTCATATTGCAAGCACAATTTGACCGGCTCGAGAGAAGAAGTCTCTCTACCCAGCATCGCCAAACCAAAAGATCGAATCCTAGACATGTTCGCCAATTGGCGTGCGTCAACTACGAGGGGTGCAGCGGCAACAAGAGCATGTAAGCAAATATTGATCAATCTCGCTGCCTCATTATTGGGCAAAGCTTTTCTAGAGCTTGAAGATGGATCTTCTTTTGACCAATCTTGAATTGATTCCAGCGATTCCGGAGGATTGAAGAGGTCGGCTGCTGCTATCCACAGACTGTCAAATACCAGAGATGGGGCAACTCGTGTCAAGCGAAGCATCAAATACCACATGGTTTGAGTATCGTACAATCGCTGATCACAATAACTGAAAGACTGAATGAGAGAGTCCGATTTCGAGAGCACGTCAAAAAATCCCTGCTCAATGAATGACTTCCACTGTTCTTTTGCAGAATTCGAATAATTTGACCCATTTCTTGATGCGGACCCTCGCCCTTGTTTATATGAGCTGCTGTTATTGAGCCACCTCATTAAAGGCTGCGAAATTTCCGCAGGGTGCAAATCGTGCTTTTCCAACGTTCCGTGAGACTGTAAGGTATCGCATAAAAAGTTCAGAAGATCAATTGGGAGAAGCGAGAGTGACTGGGGAAGGATCTTGTCTTCGACCGGCAAAGAGTCCGGGATTGGGGTTTCTCTGGTAAGTTTCTTCACAGCGCCTTTTGTGGCCAAATGCGAGTCTCGTCTTACATGGTCAATGGCTTCATCCTTGATGGAATCCTTCTTCACTTCTGGCAAGAGTTTAATAGTGGCGGTTTTCAGGACCGATGAGAGTTCTCGCTCGGGCATATGCAGCATAGGGTTTGTGATGAGTGTTTTTCGAGATGTGGAGAGAGTACGCTTCGTTCGCGGAGGTTGAAATTGCTGCAAATCTATCATTTCAGGGGTGTCATTTGTCCTTGATGATAAATTTAGGATGCCCTTGGGATTCTGAGGTTCGTGTGCTTCATGTCTTCTACCACCGTTTAGTTTGGAGTTCCGTCGCGTAAGCGAGTTGGCAACAGTTTTTGAATCAGCAATTGGGCGAGATTTATGTTCATTGTTACATGATTTGGGTGGTGAGAAAGTCGTTGCTTCAGGGCCCTGATTGTTGTTTGATGGATGAGTATCGGGTTTTATTTGTGGTTTGGGGACTGGCAAGGGTATAGCCACGACTTCCGTTACGGGGTTGGCTGTGGAATTGGTTGGCCCTCCAGGTTGCGAGACCACCTCTCGTTCCTCCTCATCTGGTCGAGATAATGCTTCCATATTGCTTGGAGTGAGCCATTCAACCATCTTGAAAGCTACAGTGCCAAAGACATTTTGGACAAAAGAGCGGTGGTCTATGGGTGTTGGCTCTTCATAAGGTGCAATCTCCAAACTCCTCTTCTGGCCCTTAGGACGCCCATCTGTGCCAGCAGTTGACGTTGTAGGTCTGGCGCGCGCGCTGATACTCGAAATTTCTCGTGATTTATTGTTCGTTCCTCGCTCGTCACTCTCGTTGCGCCTTCTACTTGAGCCATTTGATGTAGAATCCACAGTCTCACTGCTTGCATCCTTCCACGATTTATGAGGATTGGGCGTCTTTGGAGGAGGTCTGTCTGCGCTGGGATGATGGCAAAGCCCTTGATCTGGATTATCCTGGCTCGCCATATATATCGCAAGCGTGCGAGCACTTGTGGCATTGTATCTTCGAACCGGCGCACCAGCTGCCAGACGTTTGCGACAAGAGAAACAGGTGGTAGTACTGCAAGTTTTGACTTTGCAACCATATCTTATCTGGAAAATGTACCTGCCAACCCGTTAGCGAGTTCCCAATGGTAAGGCGGAGGCATCTCTGCGGTATTATCACCTCTCTACTAGTAGCTGGAACTGGTGTCGCCTTGCCGCGCAATGAATGGTATACAAGCGCTTTGGATCCTCCACATCGACAATGAAATTCTTCAATTCATCGGGCGCATCTTCAGGAAGTCGGGGGAAAGGAGCCGTTGCCCACAAGGCTGCGTAGACCTCATCTTCGGAGGCAGGATCGTGACCATCGCGGAAGCCTTTAATATCTCGAGTCATGTCATTTATCGAGAGGGCGGATGTTGTGTAGGATTCGAGTGTCGCATAAAAAACTTCATCCGGCGAAGTACAGTCGATAGTGCGAGAAGTCGAATGATGGTGTTGATTCGAGGTTTCCAGGGAGATGAGAGATTCGGTCGTTAGCTTCCTGGAGGTTCTTAGGTCGAATGGACGAGGAGGCCTTGGGCGCTTTGGTACTCACGTCGGGGACTCGAAGTTGCCAAGAGCTGTCTTCGCGGCCGCTGAGCCAATCAAGACTAGCGCCCGGGGCCGGAAAAACCTGCCCGGAAGCTTCACTTCAGCGACAGAGCTGGAGCACTCACCTGCAGAGCCTTCAGAGTCACACGGTGACGCAGTGGCGGAAAGCAAGAGTGAAGAACAGCCACGGCCAAAACCCCCACCACAAAATTATGCGAAAGATTGCAAACTCAAATCTTCGATCATCGCCCATTTGTCACCTGTCAATCTCGGTGCACTACCAGTATTTCGACCCCCAATAATTACTCACCTCTGTTGCCTCCTCTGATTTATTATTCAGGCAGAGCGACGAGTCCCATCGCATCGCATCGCATCACCTTTCAAGGCAGAGTCCTCGCACTCTGTCTCGCTCTGCGGTGACCATCCTTATCGATATCCCTCTTATCGAGACTTCCCCTCCACCACCCCACCACAACAATTCATAAAACAGCAAACCAAAAGAATTGAGAATTGCAGTTGCTCGACCAATCAATATGGCTTCGATCACTGCCAGCAGAGTTTCTGCTTCGGCTCAGCCAGACACGTCGTCGACCCATCCGTACACTTGCAATACTTGTCAAGTGGCGTTCCGGAACAGCGAGCTTCAGAGGGGGCACATGCGCAGCGACTGGCAGTAAGGAGGTCCAATTTGATAGTGCGCGAATTACTGACTGACTGCGATACGTAACAGTCGATACAATTTGAAGCGTCGTGTCACGTCTCTTCCTCCCATCTCCTCCGAAGTCTTTACCGAAAAGGTTCTCCAAGCGCAGGAATCCACCACTGCTGCAGCCAGCAAAGCAGCCTATGAGAATACATGCACAGTTTGCGTTCGAACATATTTCAGTGAGAATGCATTCAGAAACCACATCGGAAGTGCAAAGCATAGAGCCAAGTTGGCGCAAGCGGGAAGCAAGAAGGCAAACGACGATGCAAGGTCAATGCAGAGTTCAACGTTCTCCCTCGGTGAACCAAATGTGTCCAAGGTACGCCTGGACTCGGACTCGGACGAAGAACTAAACGAGGTTGTCAAGGGAATCAAAAAGACTGAGCTAGATGAAAAACCGTCAGACAATGAGAATGGTGAAGGATCCGTCGCAACTGCTTCCTCGGTAACTGCTGCAGATGATGAAATTCCCCACGAAACTGCTATGAAGCGCTGTCTTTTCTGCAATTATGAATCTCCGTCACTAGAACTGAATTTCAACCACATGGAACGTATTCACGGAATGTTTGTGCCTGAGAAACCGTACTTGGTAGACCTCAAAGGTTTGTTTGGCTCGCTTCATGAGAAGATCTATGAGTACCACGAATGTTTGTATTGTGGCAAATTGAAGCCTTCGGTTTTCGGTCTCCAAACTCACATGCGAGATACCGGTCACTGCAAGATCCCATTCGGAACGGAAGATGAGCAGCTGGAAATTGGAGAGTTTTATGATTTTACAAGCACTTATTCTGACGTTGAAGATGAATCTGACGATGAGGCTGAGCTCCCAGGCAAAAAGAAGAGTGGTGGGGTCAAGCTTGGAGCCAAGAGACGTGTCAAGCAAACGGATGGAGAAGGTGATCAGGAAATGGAGGACGGCGATGGATGGGAGACTGACAGTTCCGAATCCTCACTCGACTCTGCGGATCTCACAGCAGTTCCGTTAGACCAGCGTCAGCATCAGTATGAGAAACTCGACCAACATCCACACCACTCTCATTCTGATCCTCGCCCCCATCGCAACAAAGATGGTTGGCACTCTCATGCCCACAAGCATGCCCATGCCGTATTTTATTCGGATTACGAGCTTCATCTTCCATCTGGGAGAACAGCCGGCCATCGATCATTGAACAAATACTACCGACAAAACCTACACAATCACCCCTCGCCAGCCGAAAGAGCAGAACAGCTTGCTCTTGAGGATGCAGCAAATTCAAATGAGGAAATGGATGGTCAAGTAGTACGTGGCGATGGAGAGCGTGGTCGTGCTATGATTCCACGTTCAGAGGGTGGTTTGGGAATGATTGGTGTAAGCGACGAGAAGAGAAGGGAGGTGAAGATTGCCGAGAAGAAATCCCAGAAAGCTGAGCAACACGAACAACGGAAATTCCAATGGCGTGTCAACAAAGGGGGCAATATGCAAAAGCATTTCAGAGTAAGTCGAATCCAAAACGGCACTGCTTCCTAAAACTAACCATTCCACTAGGATCCATTGCTGCAGTAATTGGCAACACCAACGGTGGCTTTGGTTGCACGGCGCAATTCTTTGGCTGCTCCGGTAGAGCTCCAACTGCATGTGGGAGTTATTAGACAGTGTTTACTAAGAATGGAAAGAAAATCGTTATTCGGATCAGTATATATGCGAAGAACAATCATCCAATAACGCTTGGCTATGACTGCCGTGTAACCCAAGCCTTGTGTTCATGAGAGTAGCATATACCCCTAGTGTTTCAGCCCCAAAGATGCTGTTGGAAGGTCAAGTTATGGCAGCAAGTGCAAGCTAGGCAATCTCAATGATTCTGCTTTCATTAGCCCGTGAGTGGAAGCGCCAAACCGTTGCCAAAGGCTATTACCCCTTTTTTCGTACAACCATGCCAATTCGGGTATTAGTAAAACATGCAACCAACATACCGACTTTTTGCGGTGTGACAGAATAAAAATGCTTCACAAGCGAATCCTGCACTCCAATGCACCGTCGCTAATGATGCAGCCTCTACGTAGCAATGCAGGTGTACGGATGTGCCTATAGAAGCTGGTGGTATACCTCCATAGGATATCCAAAGTTTCCGGCCATGTTTCGAAGTTTCGAAGCTGGGCGCAGGCGGCATCAGGGGGATTTTACAGAAGCGGGCCGGGGGTCAGGCTCAAAGGGCCTGTGAAGGCCTGTAAAGGCCCCTTAAGTAGCGTGTGGGCGGGCCAGCCAGTGCTCCCCACACCTGGGACCTTGTCGGAAAGTTCTCAACTGCACGGCTCAGGCTCAGGACGGGATGGACATTTCCAGATGCAGAACCCCTTGAACTGCTTTACCTCCAATCTACAAGTAATCAATACCACAACACCTCTACTATACAAGCTTGCTTCTTTCGACCTTCCTCTGCACCGCTCGTTATCGCCCAGACCAACTACCTTTGAACCTACAACACCAATCCACACTAAGCTAGCTTCAGTGGACTCTCCTTCTCCTGCGAATCGAATATCAGATGCGATCGTGAAGCTACTCATTGCGCGCAGAAAGATATGGCGGAGCAATTGGGGACCCCTGGGTCAAACGCCGATAACTCAATCAACGGTGGAAAGGGAGGAGCACCAAAGGACAAAGCATGTCCATTCTGTCACCAGAAGTTTACCTCCTCCTCGTTGGGCCGACATCTTGATCTGTACATAAAAGAAAAGAACCCCAAACCCTCCGATGGAGTCCACGATGTTGACGAGATTCGGAAGATGCGAGGAGGCATTACAAGAAGACAGCCGCGCAATTCTGCTTCAAGGAGGGAGGACTCTACGCCTGCGGGAACCCCTAGTAATCATGACAGACGGAGTCCAGGAGGACCGGATTCGGGAGGTTGTTCACCAAATCTACGGCGGAATGATGATGAGAGAGGAATGCAGTCACGGAAGACTGCCTGGAAGATAAATTCTGCAGGATGGGAAACCACGGGGGTCATGAATGTCATTCCAAACCTAAGAAATGGAGACTCGGTACGGAGCTGGGACAGTGAGGATCGAGATGGGGCCAGGAAACTAGACAATAGGGGCAGGTCTGTGAGCAAGCAGATGCTGGCAAAGACCACTTTTGAGCAGAAGCAAAAGATGATGGATGCTCTGGATAATGCGCAAGCTGCAAAACTGGCCTTGCGAGAAATACTGGGCTCCGTCAGGGCTGCAAAGTAGGTGCTTTCTTGCTGGACAGAGGACTATATACTAACAGATGCTAGACGTCAAATTGATGATCTCCAAGTGTTTGACTACGACCCCCTTACCCTCGACTTTCCAAGCATTGTTCTTCGCTGTCTCCCACCGCCTCCTACACTATACCAAGCGATGCCCATCGCATCTTCCGCATCATGGTCTATACAACCACCAGACGACCAACAATACCAGGCGTTACGGGAACATTTTGCCAATGAGTTCAATCGATTTAGAGTGTCATGTCAGGTAGCCACTACGGTTGCCCACGATGATTTGTCCTACCCACCTCCTCACCCAGACTTTGATGATTTACTCGATGACCCAGCAGAGATTGCACGACGAGCTGAAAATGAAGCTTCTGAGCTCGAGTCTCGAGTATCAGAACACCTTCATGCTGTTTTCGCACATTGGAGCTCCTTGAGCCACCCCAAGCGGCAGGAAATATGGATTCTAGAAATGGCACGAGCTTTAGGTCGTCAATCCGAGGAGATTCAAAAACTGAAAAAGGAAAAGGAGTATGCTCAACAAGAAACAGCACATCTGAAGATCCAGGTGGATGAATTAAGCAGACTACAACATCCAAGAGAATTCAAGCTGGTGTCGCCTTCAACTATGCCAATCGATTCCGACACCATAAGTAGACTAGGCGAGATAGGCATGACCAGGAAATACGTCGGGCATGACATGTCCAGTGTGAACTTGCACCTAGACACTGCAATTGACCGCGCAATTGGAAAATGGAAAATAGTCGTGAAAGAGGCCAGAGGAAGCGGCAACGGTCTATTAGCTCAAAGATCATTGAGCGGAGAATCCGCACCACAAACCTCTGTTCAACTCCCACCTCAAAACCTTGCCCCTGTTCGAACCCCTATTACACCCAACCCACCGCAACTACAAAACCACATCAGCCATCAACACACATCAAGCAATATCTCAAACATGTCGAATCATAATGACCACATCAGTCATCAACATACATCAAGCAACATCTCCAACCACAATGTCTCCATGTCCAATTCCAGCAATAATCTCCCCGTCCAAGTGCAAGTCACCGACCTCACCAGTCAAAGCAACGATGACATGGGAAGTGACGCCGACGCAGATGCGGACGCGGACATGGACGACGACGATTCCTACATGGAGATGAACGACTTACCTCAGCAGACTCGCGCCCCGGAAGCTCCTATGGCGCAACCGTCCAACAACTTTCGACTCCCGAATGGGAATGTACAACCAAACAGCCTGCAGCAGAACAACAATGGAAGGGGACTTGAGGGAATGGAGAACCAGGTTGTACAGGGATACGTGAGGATTGGTGCATAACCAAATGTTTTTGCATCTTAAAAGTTGAATCTTTAGCTTTAGCGTGCATGTGTGTGTGTGTTGGGAAGTATGGAAGTGTGAATAAATTAAGAAAAAGATGCAAACTGTACTGTGGGAAATCTATCAATAGGAGAAAGGCGTTTTATGGGGGGCATGGAGGGAAAGATAACTTGTAATAAACCATCTCTTTGTAGAAGACCGAATTCTTCTTTTTACCTTTTTTTCCTTTGCTCCTGCTTTCTTCTGATTTAGCGAGGTGGGGATCGTTGTTTTGCGTTTTTTTGCGGGGTTTGTAGCATTTTGGGTGGCTGTTTTCGTTTTTGATATTTGGCTCTTTGATATTTGAATTGTTTGTTGTTGTCGTTTTTTGAACTGATTAATGGGGTGAAAAGCATGAAGCTTGGGAGCGTGCATTGCATTGTTTTGTGTGGGATTGTGTGGTATGTTGTTGTATTGCACTTGATCAAAAATTTGTTGATTACTTTAGCATGGAGTATTGAGCATTGAATTATGCATTTTTTCTGAGTTTGAGCATTTTTTCGAGTATTGTGTTGTGTACTGAAGTCTTGCACGCACGGCTTTGCGATCGGAGGGAGAGTGTGTGTATATAAATATATATTATATGCAGAGCGTCGCGTGGTGTGGAGAGCGGGAAAGGGGGTACCGGATTGGTCGGGGGTAAGAAAGAGAGGAACAGAGAGAAGAGAAGAGGAGATGAAATGTGTATACCATGGTATTTTATTGTATTGTATTGTATGTGTTGATTTTCCCTGAGAAGCTGAGAAATTGTGAATGGGATTGTGTATTTCTTTTTTGGAGGGGGTTAGGGAGGGTTGGAGGGTAAGAGAGGGGAGAGGAAGGGGGAG